TCAACATGCAAGTTAAAACGCAATTTACCATCCAGAATCACACCTAAATCCCGAATATGGCTGACTTCCTTAAGTAATGCCTGATTAATATGATAGACTCTGGTTGGCAAGCGTTTTTTCCTGCTGAATCGAACAACATGACATTTTTCAGGATTCAAATTCATTCCGTTTAAACTACACCACATTATCAAATTGTCCAGATCATTTTGCAGTGACATTGCTTCCTCGGGTGAGTTCACAGTCCTATATAATTTTAAATCATCAGCGAACATCAAGAATTTAGACCCTTGAACGCAGTTTCCGATGTCGTTGATGAAGATATTAAAGAATAATGGACCTAAGTGTGACCCTTGAGGCACTCCAGATATGGCAGTGAATTCTTTGGATTTGTACCCACCAACTACAACTACTGACTGCCTATTTGACAGGTATGATCTGCACCAATTTAAAAATATGCCATCAATTCCAATAGAGGAGAGTTTGTGTATCAACATAACATGGCTCACCCTGTCGAAGGCCTTGCTGAAATCGGTGTATATTGCATCATATGATTGCCCACGATCAACCCCCTCAGCAAGATCCTCCACGAAGGAAACCAAATTAGTCGACGTGGAACGTGACTTAACGAATCCATGCTGTTCAGCTGCGATAAAATGTTTGAAGTGATTATATATTATTGGGCACAAAATAGATTCAAAAACCTTCGCGAAAGTTGGAAGTATAGATATAGGTCTATAATTTAATACCGTACTCGTGTCACCACTTTTGAACAATGGTATTACAAGAGCACTTTTCCAAACCGTTGGGAATATTCCAGAGTTAAGAGAGCTATTAATAATAATGCTGAGTGGTAGTGCTAGTTCACTAGCACATTTTATCGCAAAAATAGAAGGTATTCCATCGGAACCAGCACCTTTCGAAGGGTCAAGTCTTTTTAAAACTCTGAAAACTTGATCAGTAGTTACCGATATTGAAGTTAAACAATTGGTTAACGAACTAGACTGGCCACTGATCGATATGTTGTCCGAGTTGTATACCGAAGAAAAATGTGATGCGAAAAGATTGCAAATGTCTGACCCCGACGAAGCTACTTCATCACCTAAAGACATCCGGGCAGGGTAAGAGCTTATCCTTCCTCTTTTTGCTTGATAAAGCTCCATATAAGTTTTGGATTCGTAGATAATGAAGTCTCTAAGCGTTTTAAATATAATCTATAGCTTAAGTTATGGAGTTTTGTAAATCTTTCCCGTAGCATTTCAAAAGTAATTAAATCACGAGGATTGCCGTATTTGCGATATTTGGTGCGATATTTGAATTTTTCGTTGATTACCTTCACCAATGCCGCGGAGAACCATGTTGGATATTTACAAGAACGTGGTTTGGATTTTTGGAACATGTTTAGATATTATAACTCTAAGAATTTTATAGAACTGTGCTACCATATCGTCAACGCTAGCACAATTGGAAAGGTCAGTGTGCCAAGGAATATTATTTAGATCACTTGTAATTTTTTCATAATCTGCTTTATGGAATCGAAACCTGGCTTCTTCATGGGAATTGAGTTTTTCTTTATGGACAATATCAATACAAAATTCAATCGGAGGATGCAGAGGGTCAACACTTGAAAGAGGATCTTTGCTCTCACTTACATGAGAGATTACCATAGAGCTCATTATTAGATCTAGAATTCGGTTTTTGCTGTTAAGGCAATTATTAAATTGTGAAAGATTATTTAACGACATAAAGTCTATAATCATGTTATTTAACATACTATTTGTCGTTATTGGTATTAACGTGGAATTAAGTGTCCCGTTCCAACATAGGCTACTCATGTTAAAATCACCAAGAACGATGATGTTAGAGCTGAGATTTTCAATAATACAATTAGCGTTATGAATAAAGTGCTTTAAAATATGCTTTTGTACAGGAGGGGGAATATACGCAGCACATATGTACAAAAGATCGATTTCACCCTTACTGTTAATTAGTTCCAGCTTAACCCAGATATCCTCACAGTCTGATTCGTAGGCACAAATACGGTGTGACTGAAAGCGCTTGGAAACAGCTATCAATACCCCACCCCCTAGTTTATTGCTGTGAAAACCACTGCTTTCCCGATCGCACCTATACACTACATAACGATCGTCAAATAATTCATTATCCGATACACTGCTGTTTAACCACGTCTCTGTAAAAACTATTACATCAAAATTACAGCACAAAACATTACTAAATAGTTCAATAGTTTTGGTTTTTAATCCTCTAACATTTTGATAAAAACAGTTTAAGATGCCCTTAGTAAAAAACAATGTCAAATTTAGCGGCATTATGACAACTTATTTACTAAATCAATGTCTTTAACGTAGATATGACTTGACTGCTCATCCTTCCGCATGTATATCCTCGCGTCTCGCACCCAAACAAATTTATATCCAAGTTCTTTGGCTTTAGAACGGGCAGCTGCGTGCAAGCGCTTGTTCTCATGGGTAAGGTGTTCCGCTACATAAATAGCAGCCTTCCTGTTAGCACCAATACCCAAATGACTGGTATTCAACTTGTCTTCACGATTGTGTTTGTTAAATTTACTAGTTGCTGCTAGAAACTCGTCACGAAGACGTGGGCTATTAAATTTCACGAGTATTGAACGGGGGCGAGGACTAGAGTTGTTCATCTTAGCTAGTCGGGAGCAGTAGTGAATTTGCGTCTCGCTAATAGGGCACTTGATCACTTTTCCTAGCTGCATTACAGTGTTTATTAAATTTTCCTGTTTATTTTCAGGGACACATTGAATTTCTATATTACAGGACCTTGAACGCTGATCCAGGGCATTAAGATGACTCCACAAAGCTCTGTTCTCTGCCTGAAGCGTTTCTATGACTTTTGTGTTCTCGCTTACTTTCTTATTTATACCTTCAAATTGTGATGAAAAGTAGTTAAGTTTTTCTCTCAGCTGCTCAAAATCCTCGTGAATTGACTTATTTTCCAATATTATCTGCTGCCTAACTTCTGCTAGAATAGTGGCAGTTGTCTCCTGGAGTTTGGCCTCTATGTACTGTTTAAGCTCATCCATGTAAGAATCACCTACACCGCTCAATGATGAGGGTGAACAAACTACAGCACTCGGATTCTCTTGCCTTACTGGGGTGCTATCACCTTTCTTTTCTATACTTTTACAATTGGGACACTTCCAATTAGCTTTTGCCTGCTTAGATTCTTTGTGAAAGTTCTCCTTTGTAGTACCCAAGCATTGGTAGTGATAGTGCCCAACACACTGAGAACAAACTTTGTCTTCAATTGGCTTCACAATTTTATTGCAAGCTTTGCACTTCATCCCGTTATCAAGCTTGTTGAATAAGGAAAACGTAACCTCGCAAGCTTATGCACTATGGTTTCGATGGCAACAATACGTGTATCTTGTCGTCTCTTATCAGTAGTCTGTGCTTGTCAGTTATGTGACGGTATCACAAAGTTGTAATTTCAACAAAAAAATATAACAAGATAACAAATGAGGGTATCTTGATTTGTGATGCAAAAAACAAATTTTTATGTGATAGTTGTAAAAATGTTGTGTGTTTCGTTGAAATAATAATGGATGACGTGAGCCTGATATAGTTCTTGACTTTAACAACACTTTTCACAATAAATAACCACAATTAATATTTATAAAAGCACTTAATCACTGATACTGAACTGAGCGGACACGTTGACGGTACTCGAAAATAATAAAAAAAAAAAACAAAAAAAAAAAAAAAAAAAACCTCCTACACTACAAGCTCCCTCCTTATCTGACTGCTTCTCGACTGATTTGAGCGCGACCTTATCAAAATTAATTTGTTAATATATAGAATAATATATTTTCTTAATATTAATAATATATATATATGATACCTTCCGCGTACTATAGTTATATACTTCCTCGTACTTCATTAAATGCGGGCTCCTAACATTATTCTCGACTGCAATTGTAAATATAAAGTGAATTACTATATAATTACAGTTTTTTTATATAAACTTACACGAAATATATATATATATATATAGGGGGTCTTTTTTATAAGGACTATATTGGAAGGATGAAAATGAAAAATTCGTTGTCATGGTAACCATTTACTGTCACGCCTCCTGCGGCATGTCAAAAATGTCTTTATGCTCGTTTCATTTCATATTTATTTGTGGAAGAACGAAGATCAATGTCAACCTAGTGGTTTCATCGTGCGACTCTCGTTCCTGAGGTCGTAGGTGCGATCCCCGACTGTGCACCAATGGACGACATGTGTCAGACTAAACGCTGATCATCTACTTGTCTATGAAATAAAAATGATCAAAGACTAGGATGCAATCTGAGCCCAACATAGTAGACCACTGGTTTAATATTATTAACCCTTTGCCTTTGCTTTGTCATATATAAAATTTCGTCGAAATACTCACTATATAAGGTCAAGTTACAACATATAATTACACAATATAACAAATATTCATGGTTAAGACATAAACTTGTTCGAATTATATTGCCATTACTATCAATATTGATAAGCACTATATTAATATATAGCAAAGGCTTAGGCTATTACTATAATATATGTTAATATCAAGGCTAATTTACATAGTATTTTTAATATATTAATACTACTAATCAAAGTTCAATCATTATTGGTAATTACTATTTATTTCTAAAAAATGTGTGCGGAACCCGTTTTATATAATCTTTAAAAATATTAATTACATATAAAAGTGCTTTTTAAGTTATTCGATCCATTTGCATTTATCAGACCCGGAATAAAATTAAAAGTTTGACAGGTTTTTTTGGAGATTTTTATGGTATACTTAAAGTCAAATTATATGCTATGATTTATGTATATTATATGTATTTTAATAAATATTAGTTTCGCTAGTCTTATTATTAGATAAAGTTAATCTAATAAAAGACATAAAAATTAGTTACATTTGACTCGCTTTTTCATCAAATCAACTTCCGGAATAAAATAATAATCTTGACAGGTATGGAGCAAGAAAAAAGTTTTAAAAAGCAACATGTAGTATGGACAAGTCGTTAGTTTATGGCAAATTAATAAACTACTTTAAACGAAATTTTAATAGAGATCTTTCAAAAGGCTTACATCAAGCGGACATGTGAGATATTCTCTTAAAAATTTGCGAGCAGACCTTCGAAAGATTGCTAAACCTAACCACTCACGCATTAAATGTCTTTTCAACATTCAATAAAATTACCGGTTTTAATCGGTTCTATAAACCGGTCTTTTTGCGTAATAGCATGCTCAACTTCTGACCTTCCATGGTCTCTATGTCAAGTGAAATGAGCATTACAAACGTCAAATGTCGTATTATTATTCGTTATTATAAAAAAAAAATATTTAAAGGCTATACCACATTCATAGTACTGATATATAAAAGCATAATTATTGAGTAACATAAGCTTTTTTTTAAGCGCAAATGCGGGAAAGCTAGCTCAACCCAAAGGTCATAGGTTCGAGCCCAGGCTGTTCAACAATGGACTTTCTTCCATGTTCACATTTAACACTAACTCTTACGGTGAAGGAAAACTTCGGCCGAGGGGCCTCATAGCCTAGCGGTCTTATTAAGTAGCAGCTAGGTGAAGGGTACCGGGTTCGATTCCCGGTTCGAGGGCAAGTTTTAATTTAATTTAAATTTGTTCTCGGCCTTTGGGAGGGTTGTGCGGTACCGGGCGAGTGCCTAAACCGTACATGGAGGACACGGTCGAAGTTCTAAGGCAAGCACGAATTATAAAAAATCTTATACTTGACGCTGGCTAATGCACAAACCGTGCCAGAGCCATTAAAAAAAAAAAACTTCGGCCGGCTCTTAGACCCAAAAAGTCGACAGCGTGTGTCAGGCACAGAAGTACGATCACCTACTTGTCTATTAGAAAAAAACAAATGATCACAAAACAGTTACACCAATCTAAGACCCAGATCTAAAAAGTTGGAAGGCCACTGGTTTTTTTGTCTACTTAAAGTAAAATAAGATATTTTAAATATTTGTATGTGTTAGTTTAACACCAAATCGTACTTATTTCTTTGCTATTACTAACCGTTGCATTATACAAACAAAAGCCGCTTTGGTTTTCCACTAATTTAAAAATAATAATTCGAAAAAACATAATTCCTCACCTAATTAATAATTAATAAATAATTTTTATTAGTTAAAATATCGCCCTAAACAGGTGTTTAAAGCTCAAACATGTTAAGGCCACGCAAAACGGTCGTTTACTTGAGTTGATCATTAATTTATGCAACTATTTGATTATCATTTGAATAAACCTTCACATACTAGCACAATGCATTAATTGTCTTTAAAACCATTTTTAACCAAAAAGTATTAATTAAATTAATAATTAATACTTTTTGGTGGAATTTGAAATTAGAACTTTCGAACTTGCTATACGATACGTCAGTTTAATCAGTGCTTGACTCGAACAAATAATATTCTTTACAATACATAGTACATACGTTCTATGAAAAGCACTGCTAAACTACTAAAATAAAAACTTATAAAATATCATCAATACAAAGCCGTTTTATGACAAATCTGGATCGTTTGACACCTCAGATCAGCCCGCAGATCAGTGGAGCTATGCTTGAACATACCAAAAATTAAAAAATTTGTATAACTTTCAAATTTTATTGTTACTATTTTAATACGATTTTACGGACACTTTACACGTGAACGAGGAGTTTTACGTTAAGGCTATGTTCACATGTAACGCGCGTTAACGCGCGTCAACGCGCGATCAAATTTGAAGAGCGTTCAGATGATGAGCGCTAACGCGCGTTGCGAGAGTACTCGTCAGTCTAGTTCGGTAGAACGTAGAAAATGGACGTGGAAGAGGCTATTATTTTGTGGTTATATTATAAAGAAAAATATAGAAAAAGAAAACGTACACATTGGGTTTATCCAATTTTGAAAAAAAAATACAATTTATATTATATTTTTTATACAAATTTGCTATATTCCAACTTGCTGACCTTTTTTCTACTTCATCGATTAGTAAGTCGATGTCAATATCTTCAATTTCACTCATTTTAAAAGCGAGAACAAAATATAATTACGAAAATTAATAAAATTACATGCGATCGCGATGAAAGCGCGCGCTCATCTGAACAGCAAACGGACATTACATTAATATCAAAGCGCGCGTCAACGCGCGATCACCTGCGTCTAGAGACTTTTTCTCTGAGCGCCGCGTTGACGCGCGTACATGTGAACAGTTGTATGAAAAATACCATAATCTCTAGTCGCGCGATTTGAAAACGCGCCTCAAGTTTTTGCCATCTGAACATAGCCTAAATCCAAATATTATGATCATCGCAATTTGGTGATGATGGAGCTCTTTCTCTATACCTCTTTAGCTATACTTTAGTTTACATACTATTATTTGTTACCACGTTATTCTGTCTCTCTTTTGTTTTTTTTCTGTTAAGAAAGAAGAAATTGTTCGGTAGTAATCACTAATCTCGGTCATTACTGTTTGTAATTAAAGATAATTGTGTTGGTTAGATCATTTATCGAGAAAGCCTACTAATTAGGTTTTGTATGACAAAGCAAGGCTCATTTGCTGTGTTATTTATTTAAATGTTTTTGTTTTAATTCCAGCGACACTACTAGAATGGTTTCCACCGTTCTTCAGTTTAGACGACTGGGGGTCATGTCAGCGGCCTATGGACAAATACTGCATCGTCGACGCCGTACTTCACTCTAGCAAACCTTCACCACTTCTTGATGTTTTAGAAGTAATTTTCGTAAAATATATAAAAAATAATTAATAATAATTTAAAATGATAATAATATTAATTTATTATTAATAATTTATTATTTAATTATTATTATTATTATTATTATTATTATTATTATTATTATTATTATTATTATTATTATTATTATTATTATTATTATTATTATTATTATTATTATTATTATTATTATTATTATTATTATTATTATTATTATTATTATTATTATTATTATTATTATATTATTTAATTTATTATTTTTTTTTTATTCATAATAATTTTAATTTTTCTATAAACTCACACTATTTTTACATATCGTAAAACAAAAGTATACATTTAAAACGAATAACCAAATAATTTATGTTAGTTGATATAGCAAATGAAAACAAAAATACTAAAAACCAAAAAAAAACGTGAGGCACTCGGGGACTGCCGCGGTAAAGTTGTTGCATAGCATTTTTATCAACTTATGCAATTATTTTTCTTATTAATGCAGTATTTTTTTTTCTTTGATATTAATTCAATCTACCACTCTACCAGACTCAGCCTAACACGCCTATATAGTCTGTCTCACTCTAACGCGTACCAGCTGCACCGGCCGCGCTTACGCTACGTCACCGATCTCGTCAGAGAGATGCGAGACGCAGTATGCGTTCTGTCCCGCTCTAATGCGTATTGGCCGCATCTATCGTCTATCTATCGTCATCGTGTGTTAGTTTTTTTTATTTTCGTTACGGAATTTCTTGATTCGGCTTTAAAAACATGAGGCATACGAAAAACTCACGTGATATTAAGAGTTGTACTTTTTATATATGCTAAACCGTTCTTCTTGAATTTTTTCTGTATTCTTATTTCTTTATTTCGTAATCCTACAGCTAACATAAATTATATATAATAACAAACAATTAAACTGAAAATATAGCCAGAGATATAATTAACAGAATAATTTTGTAGCTAATTATTACAAGTTTGTTTTGTGAATTAGGTATATTAATTCAATGTTTATATTACAGGTATACTCATCTGAGATGTATAAGCACTATAATAGAACACAGATCCATCGCGGTGTATGCGTATCAAGATGTCCCGGGAAAAATAATACAGATAGTTTAGTCGAAGCTGCTCAGAGCTGTATCGACGAGAATATTAAGGCTTACGATCTCGAGGTATTGGACATTTAATTCTTAACAAATATTTGTCTAGCGGTGAACGTTTTTGCAGAGAAGTTTAAGGTACAGATACCGGCAAACTTCTTGAGCACTAAACAAGGGAGTGGGAGAAAGAAAGTGCGCAGCGTCGGACACAAACGTCAACAGATTTATCAATCACGCGATCGACACGTCACTCTCCCGCCCCCCTCCCAGTGATACCTAAAAATCGCTTCTGCGCAGGCAAGGACATTTGTTTAAGATGTTTGCCGGTATCTGTATCTTGACGATTGGCTCTCCAGTCGTACTGTGTCCCACTTATGTCCTACCAACACTCCGAATACTTATTCTATACTTACTACACATATCAGCCTTAGCCACAATTCATACATAAGAACAATAAACAATATACTTATGCTAAGACTGCAGTTTTAAAGAGAATAATTTCATAAATCATTTCATAAATGGTCTAATAACATGATTTTTTCTCAATAACTAAATTATTTTACGTTGTTTTCAGGCAGAAGTTGTATCGGCGAAATGGTGTAATACGGCTGGCGTTTCGCGTGTGTCGCAGTCAGCGCGGGTCATGGCGGTCGTAATGGTTACAATTTTGGTAATAACTATTGCAGCCACCGTTGTCAGTTTTGTGGATCCAAAAATGGGTAGGCTTAACAACATTCTAGTTTAAATGAAATTAAACCAAACCAGTTAATAGGCCGCGTGAAGCCCAATCACGCCGCGCTAGTCATGTTAAAGTACTCAAGACAATCATTACAATATTTTGTTTATCGTTTAATACCGTGCCTTAAGGACCTGTCCGGTCGCCAAACTCCAAAAAAGTAAATTGTTTTTTCCATTTTTCGTAAGCGTTTCTTGAAGTAGGGTGAATGGAAAAAATATATGGTGGAGTTGAGTAGTTTATGTATCCATTTTGAAAGATCAATAGACGATTTAAATAAATTCGCTCGATAGAAAAAACATAGCCAATTTTTGACACTTGGAATTCTTTTTATGACGAAAATGTATATAGAACATGATTTTGAAATTTACACGATATATTTTATCGCAAGCCAAGTAATCCATTTCAGAAAAAAAAAATTACATTAATTTAATGTTTTACATAACTAATTGTTATTACGGGCCGCGCTTCAGTGCTCCAGCTTTCCACTGCGCACCGCAGTCCAACCCGAGACACTGACACAACAATTCGTGCTGGTATAGGGCCTTAATAATAAATCACTGATTTCAGGTAACAGATATTTAATGGCATTTTCTCTCAAGAAGAACTGGTTAATTTTGACACGCTCCAGAACCAATCCGAATAGCGATCCTCGTCTAAAATGTTTCGCTACTTTCGACGGAATTAAGTATGTCTTAAGTTATTACTTTAATAATAAATAATCGCATTGAAGGCTAAATCAAGTCTTAGAACAAGTAATACAACCTTCCAATTGACACATACAAATTGATAATTTAATATGTTATACTGTACTAACTACTAGATATTCGGAATATATTTAGAACATTGGGTTTTCTTTTAAAATAAAATAATATTTAAACTAATATATTAGTTTAATAAAAAAGTTTTGTGTATTGAGGATTTCTTCCACTATTTGTGGCTACGGTCATATCCATTTATAATAATTATAATTATAATTTCAATCAGAAAACATAACATTTAATAGCAGTTTTAGTCTGATTTTTCGCTCAATAAGGAGGTACATGTATGAGCTTAGGTGTGTATATAAATTAGCAAGCGCCACCTTCCACAATAGGCAACTTGGAGCTCACGAAGATCCTTCTCCTTGACTTATTGAGCGAAGCTCCCATGCGCCCACTCTTATGACACTCTGTACAAACACTAAGGCTTTTGAACGGCTTAACCGATAAAAAACTCAATAATATTTACGAATAAATCACAAAATAAGCGGAAAAACTAATGTCTATGGGAAAAAAATGTTTCGAATCAGATTTTGCCATTTTAAAAGTCATTTACACTTATGGTGAGCAAGACAATAAATTTTTTACGGCTTTTCTCGAAGTTTCAAATCGGAGGAAAACTTAGCAACTGACTAAAAGTCCTTTCAACAAAATCAAATCTTTAAATTAAATGTTTTGAATCTATGTATTTTTACTCATCATTAAAAATTGAGTTGAACACTCGCTCCGCACAAATTTGTGCTGAAGCGAAGCAGAATTGCGAGCACTGCGGCGTCCTAGTATATATTTGTTATGTTTCAGAGTATTGGGTATACAGAGTGTATTTTTCACCCATATTATATTGATACACGCGTATGCGTACTCCGATAATCCAGAGTTCATAGAAAGGGTGAGTAGTATTTTGGATGTATATTTTCAGTGTATGCTAGGGTTATTAACACTTCCATGCACAGTGAAAAATGTAACAAAACTGGTATATTTATCTCAAATATCGTCGACAAAGTCAAAGGTACAGAAAGCTTACCTGATTATAAGAAACAAATGCTGAATATTGAATACCAATTAAATTAAAAAACAATGTACAGTATCTAATATATATATATATATATCTAAAAATGTTATGTTGGTTTGTGTACGCTTCAAAAACTCAAATAGTTCTGCACCGATCGAGCTGAAATTTTAGCATGATATATAATCCGCATCGAGGACTGTTTTTATCTATTTTTTTCCCACAAGAATTACAAAATTAAACTTATATGAAATGTATTCTTGGTTTTGTTCCTTGGTTTCAGTTCTATGACCAGTTTCCGTGGAAGGTCCTGATGAATTCGCCACTACTCCTCCAAGCTTTCTTCGTGATGACCGGCTTCATGACAGCTTACATGGCATTAATAATATCTGAAAAACGAAAAATTACTTTATTTGGATGCTTTTATTCAATAGTTAACCGTTGGTTTAGGTAAACAAAAACTATTTTAGAAATACGAAAGTTAAAATAAATGTAATATATAATTACCACGTCGAATTAAAAACCTTCGGGGTTCTAGCGCGTTTGATTTGTTTGGTAAAAAGACAACATTGGTAGAAGACGAGTGACGTGTCGGTATTGGGATCGAATCTCGCTTCTACGTTTCCAAATCCTAACGCCTCAATTTTTACACGCTTTATATTAGCTTCACCTGTATGTATGTATGTATGTATGTATGAAACCGACTCCTTCGGACTCGATTTTGACCCACTTTAAACGGACAGATTTAATTCAAACTTTGTACACTTATAAAGAATCAGCGACAATATAATAATTTCATAGGTTTATCTCGAAAAAACAATTAAATTTTAACACGTATTGCTGCTAGGACTAAAAAAAGCGGAAAATAAATATAGTTAAAAAAAACTAAAAAACACGCTTTTAAAGCACATCAAACTAAAAAGTGAAAAATAATTCCTAATTTAGGCTGAAAATGGTAATTAACAAAAAATACTGGTATTATTGTGAAAAAGCGTGGGTTGCTCGATAGACGAAAAATATGGCACAGAGCGCTTATATTAAGACTATCGCTTAACAAGGCATTCTTTCATATTTGATATTTAGCCATTTTATTCAACTGACTTTCGTTCTAGGTTAGCCCCAGTGGTGATATTTGTATTATGGTTCACCATGGCCTGGTTCCCTTTGATGGGATCGGGACCCCACTGGTCTTGGATCGTGGAGAAGGAGGCCCAAGAGTGCTCAGAAATCTGGTGGTACTACTTGTTCTTCGCACAAAACCTCATCGGAACAGAGCGGTTTTGCTTGAGTCATTTATGGTATGTAATAAAATAAATTATATAATGTAAGAAATAAATATCGAAAATACTGCAAAGGCAAATATATATGTGATTTAGTATGAAAGATGAGTTTTTAAGTTTGTATGTATGTTTATAAGTTAAATGTATCTGCTTCTGAATTTCTTTGAAATTTTCTTGCTTAAAAAAGAAAATTTCATCTAATAAATAAAATTCTCGTGTTACAATGTTCGTACCCATACTCCTCCGAAACGGCTCGACCGATTCTTATGAATTTTTTATTCATATTCAGTAAATCTGAGAATCAGACAAAATCTTTTTTCATCCCCCTAAATGTTAAGGGTGGTTTTATTTTTATTTTTAGACAAAACTTTTTATTTTATTTTTTTAACATACGGAATACAAAAATACATTCAACCCTTAATTGTACCACCTCTTGCCGGTAACCCCTCTACGATCAACCCATATTCTTTATTATAATAGATAGTTATTTTTACTGAACTAAAAAGATGTTTCCTAGAAATAATATACATGGCAAAACGACGTTTGCTGGGTCAGCTAGTATCTATATAAACGATATATTTTCACAATATCTCTTCGGTTAGTTTTGTTTTTTTATAATTTGATTCAAATATTTTGTTTAATTTTAGGTATGTAGGTGCTGACATGCAGTTCCACATCGTCGGTATGCTGTTACTACTCGTTCTGGTTCGTTACCGAAAGATGGCATTACCAGTACTACTTCCCTTGTTCATTGCTCCTGGTATAGCAACAGCGACTGTCAATTGGATTAATGAATATCCTCCCATCATTGCTGGACAGCCCCCAGAGTAAGTGGCGACCACTCAATAAGCTCATACTTTTCTATAGAATGCGTATTATACTTGCTTCTATAGAAATAATTAGAGGTAAAACCTAACTATATAGAACCTTAGACACGCTCTTAATGAATTCTGCATCTGAATTAGCCTACTACTTACTTATTATGTTCAAAATGTGCTGTGTACAAGTTGAAAATGTAAAATTTTATAGCAATTTTTTAATAAGATATATTCTAAATACACATAATTGTAAATTTATAATAAAACATAACTTCAAATCCGTTAAAAAAGTGTTTTTCTATGTCTAAAAGTTATGTCAATAAAAGACAATACTAGATATATTCAATCTAAATCCTTACTTAGATAGATAGGTCGTTTTGGATATTTGGACTATTTAAGTGCGAGAGTTAGGGGATAGCAACTCCATTCTTCGTCACCGCTTTTATTCTTATTTACGTGCTTTAAGTATTTTCATTGCGCCTGTTATAAATATATGCATTGCAAGCTTCTTGCATTTTATGAAGTTACATTGCTTAGTAAATTGTTTGTTTACATACAAATAAATAAAATCATATTAAACTATAATTTTTTTAACCCAAGTTAAGTCAAGAAAATATATAAACGAATTGTAATTTGTGTGAAAAAAAAAACCAATAAGGTAAAATTTTATTACAGAGTACTTCGGACATTATTTTCAAATTGGCCTCGTATGACAAGCATATATTTGGCACCCTGGATGAACCCTGGATTCTTCGCAGGTCTCGCAACCGCTTTTATCCACTACTCCAACGAAGAAAAAGGAATCAAGCTGAATGAAAAGAAGGTGAATATATGTTTGTAGAGTCTAGGTGATGAAAGAAGATAACGAAAAAGCGCGGCAAATTCAAAAAAAAATAGTATGGTAGCCCTAAAAGTTTGATATTTTGTGGATTAAACTTACTTGATACTTGATTTCATTTTATTATTTTTCACATTGATAGTAACTGTATTTCTATGAAATTAAATACTATACGTATTTAGTCTTTTACTATTGATACTTAAAATGACTAGCATTGCATGGAAAACTAAAATTATATTATAAAATATAATAAAATCAAATATCAATAATCGAATAATCAAAATCAGAATCCAAAAAATCAATAAAACAAAGTTTGGATATTATACCTGTTAACTATTCGGAAAAAACATATAATAGAATTAAAAATGAGTAATTGCATGAAATATCAAGACAATAAATCATACTAACCTAAGAAATTCAATGACATTCTGTGTTGCCATCCGAAAGTTTTCAAATAATTCAATTATCTTCTTTCATTAGCCAGACTCTAGTATACATAAAGAAAACTCTATTGAAGCCAGCTTTAAAGAAAACTAAACTGCGGTTTATGGCCGATTCACTTTATGTAGGATGAAGAGGTGGTCGTGAAGGTACAATGGGGTCACCTTCCACTTCTCTTACTCACAGTTTCTCAGCGCTATCTAAAATTTGTATATTACATATATCACATAAAGGGTGTATAATTAGTTTTTATTGATATTTTTGTATGTTCCCTGTGAAAGTGTAATGCCCAGTGGCAAACGTATTTTAAATAAATACAATTAAAATTTTAAAGTATAAAGTGAGAAAAAGGCTTACATACAATTCTCGCGCATTTTAAAATACACCTTACAATATAAATTAATAGAGTTTCTTATACACTAGCAAGCAAGGTATAAGCCTATAAAACAAAAGTTAATGTGTATTTTTTAATTTTCAGTGGTTCTGCACTCTCAGTCACATATCCATACATCTGTGCATGGTTGTCTCGGTAATAGGAGTCATCTTCATGGCTGATGACTTACCACCATGGTGGGCTACGGCGGTATACTCCGCCTTGGATAGAAACCTGATTTCTTTATTCATGAGCTTCCTGATTTTGGGCTTCGCGAGTAACTGCCAATGTGAGTATTAAATATATTGACAGTTAAACTGATTAAAATCAAAATTAATTAAATTTAAATTAATTATTATTACTTTTTTAAACTGATGTAAGCCTCTGGAAATATGATGACCGACATTTAAATATATTTTTTTTTGTAATCAGTTCCTTGCCTTTAAATAAATTGTTACACTTTTAAGAATCATAGAGAATTAATAAAAATTTAAAATAATATTCTACGGGTGAAGCGACCTAGCTCTCGTCGCTCATAATCTGTGGTTTCTGCGCTCCATCATCCATAGTTTGGGAACCATAACATAATGTATAATTTTTCGCCTAAATTAAATAATGTAAGCCTTTATCACCCTTTAGTATAATAATATAAAACATCAAACTTCTTGAAAGAATTTACGCTACTTATTAAATTATTTACCAATAAGTTTCGAAAAATTAATAAATAAATAAATTGTTTATTTGGAAACAAAGTGGTACATTCAGATCAATTAATTATAAAAATGCGCACAGCCATATAAAATAGGCATGCAAATGTCATATTGATTATCATAATGTCAAATAATCAGAACATTATCATAATGTCACAACTCATAATAATAAGTTTAGTTATTTATAATTTTTGCCAAACTTATAGTCTAAATACATGCTACAAAGGCATCTTGGCTTAAAAAACTAAATCACCTTCCCCTTGAAAGCCTTACACGTGATCTAAAGGAAGGTGTTTAAATAGTTTGAATGATGTATAGCTATCGTATTCAGCAACAGACCGCCACGACTCCTATCAGTCTCTCACACGGCGCTGCATTCCCCAAAAAGCCTAAAAGCGTAGAAATTTATTTTAGCTCTTAACACACGCGTGAACTTATCTACGTAATCTGACCGCTTATCGACATTTCACAAACCAGTGTTTTTTATTAACTGTTTTTTCAGCCATTGCCTTCAAGATGTGCTCGTGGCGAGGTTTTCGAGCTCTGGGAAAACTGTCATACTGCGCGTATATTATACACTTTATCATACTTCGTTTAATTATGGGAAGCAACACCAATCTTGTGCACATTTCTATATTTTCCATGGTAAGTTTATTTTTTGACTGGTTACTTAGTACTGTTGTGATTGTGTTACGTGCGCAATTATGACGCTCTTGATGGAACTTCATGAGGAATCCGGCATATGTCAGATTCAATTGCTTCGGGCACAGAAAGAGGATATGAGATGATATCAGTTCTGTTTATATTATTTATATTAAAGCAACGTAATAATCGTCACGAATGAGTCGAGAGATTTGTGAGTCAAAAAATGTTTTTAAAGATAACTTCAAAAACATAGAAACAAGAAATCAAAAACATAAAACAAGAAGTATAACCTTCTTTTGGCGCGTTAGGGAAAAATGATGAGAGTAAATTTTCACAAAAAACCGTCACCCTGAAGTTAGCCATAGTCAACATTTTAGTTCTTTCTATTGTTAGTGTCGTTTTTCAACAAACGTAGAATTAAATGTTTGAAAAGATTTTTATCTTGTTACGCCAAAGAAGTATAACTTCTAACGCGTGTACATAAGTACACATTAAGTAACATATTCCAACTTCATGCTCATGATTTTTTTCAGGTATGTTTCGTCATCCTAACAACGATCCTTACGTACTTGGCGTGTGTCCCTGTGTACCTGATCATTGAGTTGCCAATCGTCCAATTGTGGAAGGCTATATTTGAGGCTCCAAAACGATCTCCTCCGGTGGAACCAATCACAGTAAAGATGGAACAAGCGAACAATGGCCACGCAGAAGTGTAGTTGCTAACAAAACTGAGTAGAATAATTTATTTATATAGAATTGTTAAACCAAATAAATGGAGCCCCGAGCCTGCTATTTCAATTGTCCAAATGACTAAAATTAATTGTATATTGCCGATCACATTATTTCGGCACAGACGCGGCACGGTTTCGCAGGCATACAAAAGCATTGACATTTTGAAAAAAGTAGACTTGAAGCCAAGTTAGATTAAGAATAACCAGCCCAAAACCAGAAACACGTAATGTTGTAATGTTTCTCAACAGCACTAAAAGTCTGAAAGAGCTTTTAACTTTCGAACTCGAACGAACTTCCGTATGCGGTAAATCTAAGTCTTTCATATTTGTGCCAATTTTTCTCTTACATAGGTTATATAGGTTTATCAAAAAGGTATGTTAACTATAACTCTATTTAAGGGACATATTAATACCAAACACTCAAAGAATTGCGCGGACTTTAGGGATGGATAGCGTGTTGAAGGTTGTGCGAGTGACTTTGTGAGCAGTGAGCTTTCCCACACAAAGTCCCTAGGTTTTTAAATTATAGAAAATATCTTGGTAGCATCGTTTTTTTCCTATTAGAAGATGCACAATCTGCATATCTAATTTGAGCGCGTGGAAGAACTATCTGACCACATTTCAAATGGTAGAAAAGTTATTTTACAATTGTTAAAAAAGGCAAAAGACATCTTTTTTTACCTAAAATTAGATTATTTATTAAAAAAAGATGTAATATTTTATGTTTAATTCGTTATGTAAATATTGTACTTTATGCATAATGGGGTTTTGTAACCATGTCTTGTGATCCTAGTACAAACATTTTATTTTCACAATTTTGTATTAAAATATAAGAAAATAATTTTATTTATATTCGTTTCGTATAATATATATTAGTAAAACTTATATATTTATTTACTTATTTTAGTCAGATATTTTTTAAGCCGATGTTACATTAGCGTGGTCTCTCGGTATTCAAAACAACTTACTTCACATTTAGTAGGAGTATAAATAAAAATGACTGTAATTTAAAAATATTGTAAGCAGGTATCTGTAAGATTATAAATTTTGTAAATACAAATTATGTGTTTTCATGACTTCCTTTGAAGGCCAAATGTCAGTTACGACCTTGAAACTTGTTACTTAGAAAATATATCTGCAAAATTGTCAGACAGAAATATGTATTTTAATACAAGTTGAAAATGAAATGGCTAGAATTTTAAAAAGTTCTATTTACAAAATTATGGCTCAGTGATGAAAGCAACGAATGCGCTGAAGCCACTAGGCTAACATGCTCTATGCATATGCAGTATTTTAAATCTATCACACACAATAAAATAAAACATATAGGACATCGAGGAATTACCGTAGTAACATTTGTTTTGATCACCTCGTAATGTTTTTGCATAATTAATTAGTATTATTAGTATTTCTTAATTAAAAATTATTATCACATAAAATGAATATAAAAAATATTGAAATAATAGGCTCTGGGTTTTTAATAATTATTATATAGAAGGCTATTTCGGCAAAATCACTCGGATTGTTTTGCCCTTACTTGCAGAGACAAAAAAAGGCGTAGATTAATTAACTAAGAATATTAGAATTATTTCTAATAAAAAACTGTATTTCATTTAAATTTTAATAGGCAAAGACTTCACATCAGGTTAATTTCAAACAAAGCTTTAAATACTTATTTAAAAAACCTTATTTCGAATAAGTATATCATTAATATGTCATTCATATTTGCAATTTTATATATGTATTCGAAATAAGGTTTTATAAATAGGTCTTTAGTGCTTTATTTGAAATTAAACTGATATTAAGTTTTTGTGTCACACATATTTATTTAGATACTCTAAGAAAACACGCACAGACATCATTTATACTTCAATAATAAGTACAATAAATTTATATATTGCCAAAAACAGTTTGCTAACAAACCGTATCCCAGGTTCCTGATGTAGTGAGAACTGTATATCGGGAGCCTGTTAATATAATTTTTATTCAATAAATAAAAAAAATGAACCAAATTAAATTATAAGGTAAGTTAATAAGTCAAGTCAAAAATCATTTATTCATGTAGGTAACACAATGCACACTTATGAACGTCAAAAAAGAAATATACATTAAATGCTTCTAATTTTACATTTACTGCCAGTTCTCATATCAAGGGCATAGAACAGAAGAGAAGAACTGACAATAAACTCTCCGCCACTCTTTTCAATCGCAAAGTTTTTTGTTTTACACAACGTTTGTAAGGAGCTGCAACCATTACACCATGTTCCACATGACATCTTAAGTAATAAATAATAATAAAATAAATAATTAATTTCATGCTAAAAACTATCGATTAATTAAAAAACCTATTTTTATGCAGAATGACACATCTTTTATAACCAATAGAAAAGTAGAAAATGTTGGATTGCACAGTTACAAAATTGTTACAAAATTCAATACATTACACAAAACTTTTTTTTTTAAATACTTAGACGGCAGCAAAAATCACTTGGAGATGTTCCAATGAAGGTCCCCCGAGACTCCTGCATAATCAGTATCATCAAATTCGGGCGACGTAATTCTAAATGCAACCCGTGAGGCTTCTTCAAGCTTTATGATAATATGTTGATTAGCCTCATACAATTCCCTTTCAAGATCAGATATGCGTTTCAAGGCACTTTCATATTCTAAGCCATAGCCATCATTGTCCAATTGACCTTTCAGCAAGTCACACTCATCCTCAAGTGATGTTATTTTGCTGAAATATCAATGATAGTTCGGCTTTGAGCTTTTTATTGGCCTCTAGCACTTCCAACAATTCTCTTTCATTGTCCTCTCTCTCTAATGTTAAGTGTTAACTGAGCACATAACTCCCTGGAAGCTTTCAATTCCCTTAGCGTAAGTTTAGACTCTTCTTGTAAAGCAAGGCCTCTGCGAGTCAGCATATTGCTACAAAGGTGTTGTTTTGGCTTCCAATAAGAAGTGTAGGTACTGGCGTTGCCAGACGTCCCGTATTTCCCGGGAAGTCCCGTATTTTAGGCTTAGTTTAAAATGTCCCGGCGGGACTGACTCTGTCTCGTATTCGAACCGTGCTCCGTTTTTAATTATTAAATCTTTAAAATTTTAAATGAAATAATACGTGGATAAACTGCTGCTGACGCAAACGAATTACTAAAGAACGTGTTGTAAAGATATAATTTTTCTCTCCTAGGTGCTCTTTTTAAACTTTAAATCTGAAATAAACTACAACAATTTCCAAGAAGCTGATGAATGAATGAAATGAAGAAATAAATATGGATTGCTTGTATCAAGAATTCCAAATAATTAGAAAAAACCTGAATGTTGTTAATACAACTTCTGATTGCAAGAATATGGGAGCGATTGAAACTTGGAAGAAAGTAATCAAAGGGGTTTTCCAGTACTGAAATCTCTAACATTTTCCGAATTTTATCCTTCGTTTTTAGTATTAGTAGCTTAGCTCAGACTGTCCCTAATATTAAGACTGATGTGAGAAATTAATTGACCTCTAATTTAATAAAAAGCGAGTTGATGACCGTTTTTAATTACGATTATAATTGTATTGATTTTTATAAAAATGTTAAACCAATAAAAAATCTTTGCTCCTCGGTAAAAATATAATTTTGTTTTTAATTGTCCCGGGTAAAAAACCTAATTCCAGTATTTTTTTGCCTATTCAAGCAATTGCCATTTATAGGCTAAAAAAATATGGCAACCTACTCTAGTTAAGTATGTAGTGATTTTAAACTATTGGCACAAGTCTATTAGTATTATTATTATATATACCTAAAGTAGTACTTACTTTATATGTATAATACACAAAACACTAATTGTCACAAGTTTAATAGTGAGATATTTCGTAAAAGGAAATAAAAATTTGAATTTTTCAACCTAACTGACACAACATTTTATCACAATATTAGCGTTTTAGACGCTAATTTTGTTAGCAAATCCTATTTTAACACAGCACTAATGAAAACTTTTAGCAACAAAATGGAAAAACTTGAAGTATATAACAAAGTTGTTAAAAATTTTAATTTTTACAGGACCTAAATTAAACAGCTGTTTCCCTTACAGTGTTGCCTTTTCTCATTTATTATATTATATATTTACTTCATCATCATCAATGTATATACAGCCCCTTGTGAGCCTTAGCCTCCTCAAGTACACTTCGCCAGCGCAATTTATCCAGTGCTTTCCGCGTCCAATTTCGAACCCCTATTGTTACGTGGTACTTGACAACTCCATCGCACCAACGCAGCCTCGGTCTACCGGGTTTTCTCTTGCCACCGGGTTGTGTTACACCAACAGTTAAGTAAGGATCTTCGGGTTCTGTCGTCCGCCATTCGGTGCACATGTCCCAGCCACTTGAGCCTGTTGCATTTTATGAATTGGACGATGTTGGCGTCGTCTAGGATGTTATAAAGTTCTTAATTGTAGGGAATTCGCCAAACACCGTCGTCGCAAACAGGACCAAGGATTCTTCAAAGAATCTTCCGCTCAAAAATAAGGAGAGACATCTTGGTTCTAAGATTCCAGACAGGTGATTGATTAGCTGAGCCTTTAATTTTGGGTGTTGTCCCTTCTCTATTCGATCTGGTTTTACGGCGTCAGAAATTCGCCTTCGCTATGCAAGAATATATCATATATATAAGGGCCTTACCACACCTAGGCTTGCGAGAGACAGTGGGAGACAGTGGTGGTAAAGGAAATTATGCGTGAACTTCAAGAAAAAACAATTGAAGAATAAATTTTCCTTCCATCAGCTAGTATGTGTTTAATAAGTGATAGTAGATACTGCTTAAAATATATGTATGAAAATGAAAATTCCGCACGTAACCATTTTTATTATGAAAAAAAGACCAGTGGTACTAAAAGCTTTTTTGAGGTCTGTGTCTCAGATCTGTATCTGCTTCATGATCATTTGTCAATCTAATAAGCAAGTAAGTGATAAGCCTATTAGCCTATTTTGTGCCTGACACACACCGTCGACTTTTTTGGGTCTAACGCAAGCCGTTCGAGTCAATTTTAAATTAGCTCATAGACAGAAATCCCATTGGTGCTTAGGATCGAACCTACGACCTCAGGGATGCGAGTCGCACGCTGAAGCTACTAGGCCAACATACTCTTTGCATATACAGCACTGCACTTTTAGATATACAGTATTTAAATCTAACGCACACAATAAAATTAAACATATTATACATCGACAAATTACCTAGTAACATTTGTTTTCATCACCAGTTAGGAAGTGGGTGAAGGCAAAAGAGTTTTTAAAAAACAAGATGTATATGTTTTCTGCTTGAAGAGCAAAGCGAGACTGATCTTTATTTGTTATTAAACTTACATCAAGACTCATCTTCTATGCTTAGATAAACAAAGGCTTATAGTCTTAATTATAATGGCTTCCTGACAAGTACCAGGAAGTCAAGTATAAAGTAATCTTATCACCTAATTATTCTACGTAACAAAGGTGGTCCCTGTGTAGCGACCTTGTTACGAGGACATAACTCACCTCGTAATGTTTTTGCATAATTAATTAGTATCATTAGTATTTCTTACTTAAAAATAATAATCACTTTACATAAAAAATATATAACTAATGCGTAATTTATATTTAATGTAACGAACAGTGATAAAATTTAATTAACCTAAATTCGTAGTAGATAGAAGGGTACCGTAAACCAAAATCTAATATGTATAAGCTCTAGTATCAATGAGCTGGATGAGCAGTGTTGGCCTAGTGGCTTCAGCGTGCGACTCCTATCCCTAAGGTCATAGGTTCGGTCCCTGGCTGTGCACCAATGGACTTTCTTTCTATGTGCGCATTTAACATTCACTCGAACGGCGAAGGAAAACATCGTGAGGAAACTGACATGTCTAAGACCCAAAGTCGAGGGCGTGTGTCAGGCACTGGAGGCTGACCACCTACGTGCCTATTAGAATAAAAAATGATCATGAAACAGATTCAGAAATCTGAGGCTCAGACCTAGAGGTTGTAGCGCCACTGATTTATTTTTTATCAATGGGCTGGCCACATTGCCCGAATCATTGCCGCTGAATTTAATGAGTTCAGATATATGACCAGTGAGCGAGCGTAGGACGACTGAATGGATGACCTGGTACGGGTAAAAACCTTTCCTCCAGATATTGTATACATAATTCTATATTCTAAATTCGTTTGGCATATTATTTGAAAAATTAGTTAACAAAACGTTGAGTCCTCTTATCCTGAGACAATTACCACAGCAGCGACATGGTTTTACCAAAAATCGTTCAACTGTCAGCAACCTCACTGTTTTCACCGAGTACATATTTAAGGGAATGGACAAAGGAGAACAAATTGATGCGATCTATACGGATTTTGAAAAAGCTTTCGATCGAGTTGATCATGTCATTCTCCTACATAAGCTATTAGCGCTAGGAATCCGTGGAGATCTATACAGAGGGATCAAATCCTATGTAACTAATAGAAGGCAGGCGGTAGTAACGGGTGGATAAAAGAGCACATTTATAAATGTGACATCCGGTGTACCTCAAGGGTCTATACTGGGTCCGTTGTTGTTTAACGCTTATCTATATGATATAAAAAGTTGTTTCAAGTATTCAGAATATCTTATGTTTGCAGATGACAAAAAAATATTTCTAAAAATTAAATCTATAGATAACTGTGTTCAACTTCAACAGGATCTTAGTAGATTGGAAATTTACAAAAAAAAAACTATCCTTAAATATTGGAAAATGTAGTAAAATTACTTTTACTCGCAAACATAAGAAAATACAATTTTGTTATAAAGTAAGAGATACAACAATTAAACAGGTGAATTTGGTTAGAGACTTGGGGAAACTAATAGATGATAAGATGTCTTTCTCAGAACATATAGATAATATAACAGAAAAAGCATATAAACAACTTGGATTCGTCAAACGAGTATGCAAATCTTTTAAGAATATAAAATGTATAAAATGCCTGTACTTTGCTTTTGTTAGGAGTACACTAGAATATGCATGCACTGTTTGGTCCCCAATCTACAAGAAATACATTGAAGCAATAGAGAACATTCAAATAAAGTTTCTTAAGTTTTTAAGTTTTAAGGATTTCCGAAAGTATAGTAGCTATATAGATTCCTGCAAGTACTTTGGTATTCAATCATTAGAATGTAGACGTAAACAATACGACCTTACGTTTTTACACGCTATTTGCAACAGTTTAATTGGCTGTCCTGACTTATTGTCGCTTTTACTATTTTCCACCCCTTCTTCATACAATACAAGGCAAACCCAACTATTTAAAATTCCTCGGTCTAATACAAACTATTTACGTAACTCAGTCATGCATCGTATACCTTCAGATTATAACACAAATTACCAGCAAATAGATATATTTAATGTTACTAAAAAATGTTTAAAAAATAATTAAAAAAAACTTAAATAATTTAAAAATTCTTCCTTTGTATTAAATGTATATTATAATGAACAATGAATCTTAGAACTTAGTATTTATTATAAATACATATATTCTTTGAATATTTTTTGTATTTGTATAGGTGAAACTGTGCTTTGTGTATGTTTAAATGTGTATTCCGTTTTTGGCTTTTGTGTACAGTGTAATTGTTTGAATATTGTTTAATAAGTAGCTGTAGGAATACCGTTGAGCAATTAAATAAATAAATAAATAATTTTGCTGTTGATTTAAGTAATTGTAGCTTACTGTTATGGTTACAGCAAATTTGATTTCGACAGAAATTACCAAAGGGACAAAATTTCTATTATAAGAGTAGCTTTTGAAAGAATGAAATAGGTTTAAAAAAATTGTTATAAGATTTGCGAAAATAAATGCACTGTAAATTGAAAATAAGGCATACAATATTTAGTCTATAATTCATCAAATTATAATTTATTTAGTTACATAAAATAAATAAATTAGGAGGGGTTTTTATTATTTCGACCTTAGAGTGTTTTTCATTATCATAAAATATTATATAAGTCTTATGTAATTCCATTCCCTTGATATTCTATGTAATACAACAATAATTTTTAATATACTATTCAAGGTACATAAAAAATAATAAATAACATATCATGTAATCATTACTTTTGAACATTTCGATAAAAACCCATAATCTATGAATATATAATGAATTTGTGGAATTTCGTCAAACCTCATGAGGCCATAATATACTAATGAAGGCCAATTTTCACGATTAATATATAAATCGAGTGCGCTTTTGATTTGTAGCACATAGTCAAACCTTTTTGACTGAACAAAAATGTATATCATAGCGTCGGCGGAGGCTGTATAAGCAGTGTTTGTGAATTGATGGAGTTAATTACATATTATTAGTACACAGTGAAACAGTGTCTATTAGTGTTTCAAAATGTATTTTGAATTTTGTTTTTTATCTCTATTTCTAAAGTTATCTGGAGCAGTGATAACCACATTAAATGGTACGTAATATATTAAACATTATTATTAATTAACCTGCGTTATTATATAGAAGAAAATATACCACAATATTCATAGAACTCAAATTTTTGTGTATAGAATAATTTAATAATTAATTATTACACACAATTAGAACACATAAATTTACAACAGCCTACAGAAACATATACTTCTGTGCTAAGAGCCTTTAAAAACACACAACTTACGATTTATTTACTTAATATTTATATAGAAACCATAACTTTAGTTAAATTATTCCGATGTAAGTGTAGAGACGAAGTGAAAAAAAATGTAATACAAAACCTTGCAAAAATAATAGACGTGGTAACACACTCAAAACAATTAAAGTGGAAATGGGCTGGTCACGCTGCCCACGTTTGTGATGGCAGATGGGTCAAAAATATCCTTTCTTGGGATTCCCAGTAGAAAAAGGAGAAGTCGCCCACCAGAAACTGGGAAGATGAAATGAAAGAGAAAGCGGGGAAAAATTGGATAATAATAGTGAGGTACAAGTGGAAGAATTTGGAAGAGGCCTTCTCTCCTTCGGAGGTCGTGTGCTAGAATATAATAATTACATAAACTTAATGTATATGCCTTTCAGCAAAAGCCGTTTACTAATGTTTCCACTTCATCCTTTCACACGCACCTCTAATCCAATATGACCTACCTTCTTGAACTACTCAACACCTCTCCCCCATATCCTATACTCAATCCTTTTCAAACCCAGAACTCCTTTTTATCTTAAAAAATAATTTTGAATTCTTGGTTCTTAGTAACTATTACGCTCCTCTGATAGTATTTAATTTTGGGAATTTCATCTCACGGCTCACCATTTAGGATTTCCGCCATAAAATTATGGTTCGTTCCCCAATCCCATACGATATTTATTGTTAAAATTTAATTTTAATTGATTCAGATGAGTTTGGTAATTGTATAGGTCTACATTGTTACTTGTAGTGTTATTATTGTTAATTAAGTTACGCATTATACTATTATTATGTGTTACCTATTAATGCAACAAATGTGTGCTTAACAAATATTATTTCTCCCATGAGCTCCACAAAAAAGTAAAATAAATCAGTGGCGCTACAACCTCTTTAAGTCTTGGCCTCAGACTTCTGAATCTGTTTCATGATCATTTTTAAATCTAATAGGCAAGTAGGTGATCAGCCTCCAGTGCCTGACACCTTCGAATTTTTGGGCCTAAGACATGTCAGTATCCTCACGATGTTTTCCTACACCGTTCGAGCAAATGTTAAATGCGCACATAGAAAGAAAGTCCATTGGTGCACAGCCGGGGATCGAACCTACGACCTTAGGTATGAGAGTCGCACGTTAAAGCCACTAGGCCAACACTGCTCAGCAACATATTTGTGTGTTATAATTTTTGATATAATTAACACAGGCACTGAATATGATCGTATGCCTCCTCTGTACGAGATGGATGATTATGAGAAATGTCTCCGAGAACAGCAAGGACTGTACTGTGTCGTCAACATAACGCTATCAGCCTCTCCAGACAATGATCTTATGCGTATGATAAGGGTTAGTAAAGTTTAGTTAAAATTAAAGTTTAGTACTAATTTTATTCCTTTATGCCTTCAAAAATATTAAATATGACTCGACCATCGCACGAAAGCACAATGTATCTCACATTTTGCATTCCAATATCCTGCTAATATTATAAACGCGAAAGTTTGTAAGTATAGATGGATGTTTGTTACTTTTTCGCGTATAAAATACTGAATGGATTTTAATGAAACTTTATAAGAATTATTCATGATCCTCTTTGTAATTTTTATCAATATAAAATATATTTTTAGCTTTATGATTGTGCACGCCGTCCGCACCCTATTATCGAAGCAACACTTCTTCTTGTCTTTCTTTTTTCTTGTGTTGAGAAGAAGACTTTATTATAAATAAATAATAAAGTCTTCTCCGATGGTGAGATTATATCGCACACGTTTCCTCTACATTTCCACTGTATGAACATTAATAACTATTCTTCTAAATTAATGTCTAATTCTAAATTAAATAAAAAAATGATAAATAGAAAGTAAAACCAATTGATATTTGTTCCCTTTGGAGTAAAGATTCTTGCGCAATGCACAGGCGCTAATTAACGATTTAAGTTGGCGCCTGGTAGATAGTACCGGTATCGGGAATAATTATCGCAATACAGCGAAGAATTGCTGCCAGAATGAAAGGTGCACTGCCAACAGGGACCAATTTTTTAAATTTGTTTAAATTTTCTGTTTATCAATTTTTAATTATTGTTATTACTATATAGGTGAAGAATTTTGTAAGTACAGTATAATTGTATTATTTTACTTATCTTCAGGAATATTCAGAATTGCCGATACATTATAACCACACATCTGTCGATCGTGGTATATGCGTTACCAGCAAGTGTAAAAGATTTCTAACAGATACGAATGGACGGCGTGATCTACATAACAGCCTTGAAACATGCGTCAAGCAATCCTTCTATAGAAAATATCAATTGAACGCGAATCTAGCAAAAATTTACTATTGTAAAGGATCAAACGATAAAAACAATTTTGATTTAGGGGATGGGATCTTTGGCAGCGTTATTACGTTGATAATAGCAATTAACATAATATCATCTATATATGACATATATTTACGGAACTTTCGTGATGACACCGGTAAAGACTATGGTACGTATTAAGCATCGACAGAAGACCCATATGTGATATTCTCTGGCGTATAACAGACCCAAAATTAAAAAAAGAAGTAGGTATAGAAACTATCTGAGCCGTCTATGGTCTTCCTTTTTGGAAATTCGTCGGTTTTTAAACGGTTAAAACGCATTTAATTATAACAATATGACCAGACAGTTCACGTGTTTTCAAAGTCGAAGTCCCAAAATAAAAGCACAGATTACATTGAAGAAGATCTATTTGTATAATATTATCTACGCTAAAGCAAAGTCACTGCCTGTCCCGTTCTCGTGACATAGAAATTATGATTCCATATCATAAATGTATTGGATTTTGAACGAAATACGGAACGGTACATACAGAAGTCAAAGTTGGCGCTAAGTCTCGCCTCGACACGCAATAACCAACTTAATGACAGGCACTTATTTTCAGGTAACAAGTATATCTTATGTTTTTCAATAATAAAAAATGTGGAGCACTTAATGTCACATCAGACCAGTCCGAATTTTGAGAGATTTGCTGGTATTAATGGTTTGAGGTATTTATTACTTTGTATTATTCTTTAATTATGATGAATCTGTCCTAAAATAAATTAAATAAAACAAAACTACTAAAATATTTCTAACAAACAAAAAGGCAATGGAATTTTTCCTAGCTAAAGCTTGCCACGACATATCGCTATCAGCAAAAATGCCTGCTTGCATACAACTACCATCTTCGTATCGTATTGACAAACGGTGACTGAACAATGATTTTACTCATAGAATAACAATTTTTTAACGGATTGAAGTTATGTATTATAAATTTTTACAATTATTTTACATAATTTTAAATTTAACCGACGTTTCGCGTGTCATTTCAATAAAAGACAATACACACTTAACACACGTTAACAATTGACTTAGTATTTGCTTGGATCTTCATAATCCACTAGAGATGGAGAACAAAATTAATGTTAGTTATAATTTGCTCTCCGACTGGGAATCGTTGCCCAGGCGTCTCGGTTACTAACGAAACGAAGTCGCGTTGACCACAAATGAAAAGGAATAAAATAGTAGAACCTATACAAAAGCGATGAAACTTTAAGTTGAAATAAGCTCGATTTAACTTAAGCATTTATCTTAAGTGAAAGTCATATACACAAACTTACATTACCTGTTTAAAAATATATATCATACAAACATTGAGTACTTAAGTAATGTTACTTTTTAGGACTATTTTATCATTTTCAATGGTGCTTGGACATGTGATGTTTATTTTTGGCTGCGGTTTCCTTGATAATCCAGGTGATTTTGAGGCGGTAAGTACTTCACAGAATAGTTAGCGGATATCAAACTATTAATATTTTTATTATTAGACGTAACTAATATTGTAAACGGCATAACACGGAAATATTTGATTCGGCTTTTATGCAATTATGACTGTAAAAAAGTATCCAAAATTATGCAAAACAATAAAAGAAACTTGCTTGTATCTACCGAGGGATCTAACACGGCTGTGGGTGCCTGCATGTTGCATCACGATGTATATAAAAAAAATTACGTCATGGCTATCAAACTATTTAATCACCTTCTTATAAGCTTACTGCCCTGAAATGCTTTCAAGGGAAAGGTTATAGCGTGGGAGAGTATAAGACCATACGACAACAATTATTAATTTAACTGTTTTATTATTATGATAATTAAAATGACATTTTCATGCCTATTTTTATATGGTTGGTGGTCAATATGAATGTACCATTTTCTTTGTAAATTATAATTATTATAATTATAATTATTAATAAAAAAGTTACTCTCAAAGAATGGCATTCAGCCAGTCATATTAGAACCAGTTTCATAAGTAAGTTTCCTGGCATTTTCTCATATTTCACTACACCTTACGCATGTTCACACATAGAAAGAATAAAGCCTTGGTGCACAGCCAGGATAGGCCAGCATTTCTCTGTCTACGTATAATATACGGAGTCAATTGGACAGATCGTCCAATCCCAATGTATTTTGTGTATTTACTTATTATGTTTTCTTTCATAAGTACTGCGTAAACTCTTTTTCATATTTACAGGCCTACCATAACCCACTGGCATACATTATATTCAACGGAACTCTGATAGTACAAGGCTATTTTATGATGTCTGGATGCTTGCTCAGTTATACACTCGCTTTAAACTCACAGATTCTAGCTAAATGGACACTTATTCCAATAGCCATGTTTTACAGGTGGTGCAGGTGTGTATAGACTGTTTATACAAATATTCTATTCTCTATTGGAGGCATTTTGTAGGTTTATTTGAATAAATCTCACCATTTTAAATAATCTTCGGATCGTAACTTGTCGAGCGGATGACTGCGGCAGGAAATATATGTAGGATATATATTTATTTAATTAATAAGTGGCATAAATAGTTCAATTACACACTCACACAAATTCACACCAACACCCTAAACGCATTCAAACTAAAAATATATTTATTCATATAGGTAAACAAGTACACTTATGAACGTCAAAAAGAAGTTAAATTAATTGTCAATTTACATTTACCACCACTTCGCAAGTCAAGTTGTTGTTTAGCCTGTAAACCTTTTAATTTGCGTTTAGATTTAAAAATTAGTTAAATATTATGATAATGTGCGCTGTAAGGTTTTCTAAATAATTAAATAGTAACATTGATGATTAGGGACGCAACGGGCGGCCTTATACGTGATCTTTACCCGGCAACTCTAGTTAGGAAAGTTTATTATGTGGGTACAGTAAGTTTTCTGTTATTAAAGAAATTAGGAAACCTAAGATGGAGCCGTGCAACAAGTCTGCAATATTTTTTACCCCAGTCATTGACTATCTATTTATAGTAAAAAAAAATATAATTGAATAATTTTGAATCTTCCAAATTTGGAATTTAAGTTTTAGATTTCGATAAATCAAACGAAGAATCTTTTGTGTGAAATAAGTCTCTAATGATATACATTACTTATTTTTGTTAGTACATAATGCTATTCGTATATGTGGTGTAATCCGTCTTGGCTATATTTTAAATAATTGCGAACATTATCTTTAAAAAAGTGGATATTTAATAAACTGTTAAATTAATTAATTTCAGGCTAACTCCGGCACTCGCTGTGCTTCTTGGTTTTATGACAACCTGGTACCGACATGTTGGTTCCGGACCTCTATGGGACTTCTACGTATCTCCTGTTATCAACGACTGTAGAACACATTGGTTATCCCATATACTATATTTCAACAACTTCAGTATAAGAAGCAACAACACGTGCAGCATGCATACATGGTGTGTTATACTGTTTTCTATTTTCATGGGACCGGGAGCTTTTAAGTTGTTTGCTAAATTATATTTAAGCATAAAATAGCTGACAATTTTAATATGATTATATACATTTAAACTCTATTTGATCCACTTTTATGGCTGTTCCCTTGATTGTTTAAAGATTATTAAAATTATAAAAACTGTTAAAAAAATATAGGATAATTGAACTGTTTTCGTTTTATAACTACCAACTCGGAATAATTGGAAGCGAATCATTTCATATTTATTTGTGTCCGTAAATTGCTTCAAATGGTGGTCGAAATAGATTCGCTAGCGCGTTTTAGGTTATGGCGTCTACTAGTGATTGTAGAATGTAGGTGTAAAAGTAAGAGTAAAAAAAAGGGTGCGTGTACTTATGTACGCGCGTAAGAAGTTATACATCTTTGGCATTATTAAAAATAGTTTGGCTTTGTTCCACCTCCAGTTTTTGATGTTTCACAGCGATAAGATGACAACTCTTTTTTTGTATTCAATTTAGTGCACTTACACTGATTCATCAATTGTTTTTTGTCTCTTGTCCTTATATTTGCTAGAGAAAAATTACATGTTTTGATTAAACAATGTGGTAATTTTTTTAATCAAAACATTACTCGACAATAATAATACAAACTGATAGTTAACCTCAATTGTAATGAAGCACTTAGGAAGGTTGATGAGCACAGTTTTTTCACAAATATTAATTAGTATTGGTTTAAATATTCAATTTAAATCACTTCTGATTATATATAATTCAAAAAGCATTGCTAAATTTCTTTGAAAAAATAATTAAAACTCCTTTATTTGTTTAAAAGGTAAATGACAAATGTCATTATGGTCATTCAAAATTCTTGGCATACGAACTTCACGCATATTCTACTTCTTTTTACTTGTAGATTGTCTTATTCCTATCTCGCTCGCGCACGCTATAATCACACTCCTAATTTTGTGTCACAGGTGCGCGCGCATCGTAAAATTTCACTCTCATAAATTTTTCATAACGCGCCTAAAGAAGTATAACTTCAAAAACACAACTAAAACATTTACTAATAATTAAATAAAATAAACAGGAACATACTAACAATAGATGATAAAATATACACACGATAATTAGTTAATTGTACTATTGTGACAAAACAGTTACAAGAATTATTTTAAACGGCGCATTAATAATAATAAAAAATCTTCGGAGATCTAATTTGAAATTCAGTACTTTAAACACTTTTTTGTTAAGGGTTAAAAATAAAAGAAGTAATTAATTATTTGTTCCAGGCATATTGCAGCTGACACCCAAATGTTTGCAATAGCACTGATCATACTTTTTGCATTTAAAACCTATCGCAGTAGAACTATTGGCATTCTTCTACTGTTTCTGGTAGGTTGTGTCTGCCCGGCTTTGCATGACTGGCTCCAAGATGTGAATGGAGTTTTAATAAAATATCCTGAGTAAGTTGTGCATTAATATTTAATTAGCTATATATTTTATACTTTAATCGAACTAATTAATTATTATTTAGGTTAAAGTTTGACATAACAGTTTTAGCCTAAAGAAATCTCTTATCTACCCAAACTTGTATCAAAATTCGGCCGCAGAGTCACCCGCGAGAATTTCGTGTATTTTGGCATAATTTTTCGACGATAATAGTCCACAAATTTTAGAATTTACAACTTAAGCCTGAACCTAAACTTATCAGGAATTTCACTATTGATGAAAACCATACAAAACTACGGTCGGGAGTTTTAGGGCTAATCGGGCGGTAGATTTCATTTTATGATGTGTAAGGATCATCAAGATTTGAATTAAAACTATAGCAAGTTCCATAATGATTTTTAGCAGCTAATATCAAAGTTGAGGTTTTTTGTCATTTAGTCTAATTTATCCTTTGAAATATATATAAAAAGTGTCTGTCGTGTAACGTGTTCTTTGTAAAAACATGATTTTAAATTTTTAATGTTGTCATTAATTACTATGCTACCTTTTTTGTTTAATGTTGTAATAGCAAACGGATATCCATTCAAATAGAAATCGTATATTAACTTGCAACGTCTTATTTGAAGTATCTTCCCAAAATTCATTAAATAAACAAATAAAAACAATTGAACATATTGACAACGAAATCTTTAACAACCACTCGATGAAATATTTATATTTCAATAGACTTTGATTGAAATTGTTGTTTCTGTATGTAATATAAAAAAATATATTCATTCTATTAAACAATTATTCCTATGAGGCACTACTTGAAAGTATATTCATACCACTTGCGACATTGAAGATATTGAATTTCCTAAATCGATGACGTAATTTTCCACCCAATCAAGTGAATGGAACCTTTTTAGAAGCCCAGTTAAAATTTTAACAATTTTCAGATTTTACCGCACATACAAGGACGATAGCTTTCGCTTAGTTTACGTTTCCTTTTACAACAGTCTTAGTTGTTTTGCAATAGGATTACAATTGGGCCTAATATTCCATAAATACAGGAATTCATCAATGAAATTTATATTTCCATTTAAGGTAAGTATTTGCTAATAAACAGTGTCTTATTATGCGCTTCTAGCTTATATCGAGTGTCCATCTAACTATTCGATCGCTTCTAAAATAGTATATTTCATTACAAGTGCGGAAAGCCTGTCATTGCAAAGAGTTTCGACAAATGTCTACCCGAGCCGAGGCGCAGCCGAAGGTGAGGGTTGACAGTCGGAACAAGTTGCAATGACGGTTCCGCACGTGTACTGAACAACTATTTTTAATACAGTTGCGAAAAAATTATGCAATTTAATAAAATAATAAAAAAACAATAAACTCAACTAACTAATCATTTATTTCTTATACAAATTATTGTTCACATATACATTGGTACAGTTTTTTATACTAACTGGAGAAGTTTTAGGTTGCATATTTATTTACTGTTTGAGAAAAACTATTATTAATTTCGTATGATTGTTCATGTATATTTAATATATAATATAACAAACAACTAAACGCGCAAAGGACATTTATGGAAAATGGCGCCAACCGTAAAAGAATATAAGCAGATTTTTTTTTTCTTCACCCATTCTGGGTAGGCAAAGGGAACTATGCCCAAGTCTTCAGTACAATTTTATATTGATATGAAATGAAATTTAATGAGATGAAATGAAATCTAACCTAACTCATTGAATCAAATCATTAAATATGATATTGAAACAAAGCAGTAGCTTCTTTTTAGAAATATTTGCATGAATCATAAAAATTTCTTTGAATTTTTTTTAGTAAAAACTTCGTCGTTGGTTTTTTCTTTTTAATAGACATTATTTTGACAGTTGGGAAAGAAAACGCACTAGTTCGGAAAAGGTAAAAAAAAAGCACGAGTGTGTAATAGCCCACATCCCGAACGCTATACGTCCCTGCAATACGCCACTTTTTGAGCAACTGTATTAAAAATTATTATAAGATATATCTTTAAAAGTTTAGAAATTTGTCTTTCTAGTTCTAGTTTCTTACTGTAGTTTATCTAACCTCGTTATTACAGAGATTTATCAGCGTGATGGTGTGGTTTATTGTGCCTATGTTTTTGCTCGTTCTGATGTCTGGTTATGCCGTTTACCCAAACGGCGAGCGGCCTTCCCTCCCTCTTCGCATCGCGTACTCGGCTCTTCATAGACCCATGCTTGGGGTCGTAGTAGCCATTGGCTTTATTATAGTCTTTTTTAATATTGAAGGTACGAAATATAATTTTAGATTTGCTTCACTGTTACACCTATATATTAAAAAGTGTTTCGGTTCACGTGAAACGTAAATATGTCTATTTTTATAGTATTGGGTTTTTACCGATAAATTTTAGGTGTTATGTATTCGGATGCCAGCTGCGAGATATCTCAATAAACTCAAATTGTTTTTTATTATGTTAAAATAATAGAGGTGACGGAAGCGAAGGTTAGTTGGGGTCCCAAGAGGCAGATCAAATTTGTGGCACCAGGCCCCCTTAAAGACGTTGCGCCTGCTTAATACTGTCTCAGAAACAAACTACAATTTTATATGTTTGCAGGGCAAGTTTGTAAAAGTGATATTAAATGTTCTGTTTTATGTAATTATACATATTGTAGTTTTATGTGTTAAACTAGTGTATCATTAAGTGACTTTATAATGTACGTATATTACAGATAGCTTCCGTTCTATATTCGAATGGTCCGGATGGCGAATACCAAGTAGATTGACGTATGGCGTTTTTTTGGTACACTTTTCTATCGTTCAGTATATTCAGGGATCAAGAACTCAATTGTTTAATTTCTCATACTTTAACCTGGTAAGTTTCTCAATTAGTATATCGATAACATACAACGTGTATGTTTATATAATAATAATAAGAATTAATATTTAATGTGTGAAGTTAAATAGTGATTTATATAATTAAGCGTCGTCAATCTATAATATTAAAAGCTTTTTTACGTAAAACGTGAATATACGCCAGGCCGATCAGAGTTCGCCTAGTGGCACTCTGATCCCTGAGATCGTGGGTTGCATCCCCGGTTGTGTACCAATGGACTTCCTATTCTCTATGTGCGCATTTAACACTGGCTCGTACAATGAAGGATAAACCGCGAAGAAAACGGTCATGCCTTAGACCAAAAGTGTCAACTGCGTGTGTCAGGGCCAGAATGCTGATCACCCACTTGCCTCATACAAAAAACAACGATCAACAAACTGATATCTGAGGCCCAAACCTAAACAGTTGCAGCCCCACTGTATGTTTTGTTCTATTCTCATTGATAAATGTGTTTTTACACAAGATGTTGATATGTATTGCATATCGCAATGGGACAGTTTTAATTTTTATCCCCAGCTCAGAATTACAGTCAAATTACTATACTAAATTGTTTGTACAAAAATGATAGTAAATTGTCTTTAGTCAACGAGAATAATTTTAATAAATATGTTCAATTTGCACGTAAAATAAATCGTCATAGTCGTAGGATAGTGACGGATCTGACAAATAGTAAACTTAACAGGGCAGCCACTTCAAAATAATATAATCATGTTAGTTTTTGTCATAACTATTTTAATTTATATTCTGTCATTAAGAAAAATTGGCATGCAAGCAAACAAAAGGGTTTGTTTTGAAACAAAATAAAAATAATAACAATGTTTAAATTATAATAAAAATAATAAAAATCCGACACTTTACCGACTTTAATTTGAAATTTAAAACACAAGGATTTTTTTTAAATTGTAGCCGTAATATTTAATGCCCATTTGGATGGATAGAGTTTCTCGTCTTGAAGGCACGATTATCGAAATAATATAAAAAAGTTTCTTCGTCTAAACATTCACATCTCTCTAGCTCTTCGACTTTGGCAACAATTGCCTCGCAATTGAAAAATTATTGTGTCCGTGTAATCAGAATTCCAAAAGCAATAATCGTATTTCGAGGTTTTGTGGCAGTTGCTACCATGAGTGTAGTGCGTGAGGGTGTTTTAATTATTAATACAAGAAGTAATTAAACGGAAACGCATAAAAAAATTTTGCTTTAAAAAATGGGTCTTTATAATTTATTTTTTCCGTGTCCCACAAATACTCGTAACTTCTAAAAAGTTCAATTAACTTAATATTATCGGCAGCCCCAAAATTAAAAGGTCATTTTTGAGACAAAAATCCAATAAGTACCATACCCTACATACAATATCCTAGTAATCACTAAACTCGAATAAAACATCTCGCACTCAAAACGGTTCAAACCGATTTGTACGATACTCGTATGAACATAAAAGAATGTCATATCTTGTCGAATCTTCTTACTCAAATTCAAATTCCAATTCAAAAATCATTTATTCACGTAGGTAACACAATGTACACTTGTGATTCGTCATTAAAGAAATACATATTAATGATTCTAATTTTACATTTGCGGTTAAGCTGTCACCCGAATGAACTTGCTCGCCAACTCACCATTAGACAGTATGTGAGTCGACTAAAAAGTAAAACGTCACCATATTCTAGAGCTAGAAGACCGGCAGTAGCTCTAGAAAGAAGATGAGTAGATGCTTCCAATGGGAAGTCACTCCACATGACAGCACCACAGAAAAAATTCGCTCATAGCCTTGGAGCTGATTGCAAATAACCGCAGAAAAAAAAATTTTTTACATTTACTGTCAGTTCTCAAATCAAGGGCGATACTAAAATGTCGATGTGTAAACAGACGCAGGAAATTATCGCCGAGCGATAAATCACTGGCGATTGTCGTATGACATAATCGTAGATGAGAATTTAGTTCTTGCCCGTATGCAAACATCTTGATACGATAATGCTATGGCGATTATTGCTGGTGATAGTCGCGTACGATTTCTCGTACCAAAACGTGCGAGAAACTCTCTCCATCTAAATGGGCCTTTAGTCAATGTAGTATGTAAATATGATAAAAAGTGAATTTTGGATTTTTTTTCAAATCCGACATTGTTCTGCGATCATGCGAAATATACATTGGTTAACGCTCCAAGTAAAGAGGGTCTCAGAATAAATTAGAAAGGAAAATAATTTCGTTTAAGTATATATATGTAAAACCTAAACATAACAATTAAGTATAGTATTTACAATTTTCGTAAGCTGTATTTTTATTATTATTATGTAGGATATTAATAATAAAAATACAGCTAGGACATGTACACAAACTTTTAAAATTTGATTTAATTTTCTTTTTATAAATTTTTATTATTACTATATGTAATAATTTATTAATTGAAATAATCATTTGGTGCCGGACAGCTTTTCGTGCGTGTATGAATTTGACCTCATTATTTTGACATTACCTCAACAATAAATTCAAATTCAAAAATCATTTATTCACGTAGGTAACTCAATGTACACTTGTGATTCGTCAGTAAAGAAATACATATTGATGCTTCTAATTTGACATTTACTGCCAGTTCTCAAATCAAGGGCGTAGAACGGAAGAGAAGAACTGGCAATAAACTCTCCGCCACTCTTTTTAATCGCCATGTTTTTCATATGTAATATGTTAATTAGATCGCCCACTTTGATAATTATTATAAATAATCCGATTGTTTTGTATATATGTAATTACTAGCTGACCCGGCAAAAATTGTTTTATTAAAAATGGGACTTCATAGTGAAAATTAAAAAAAGCTTATATATGCATCATTTGAAGCCTAATCATAAAAATAATTGGGATGACCCGTTCTTGCCAGTTAGGGACATTAAAAATAGTTTACCACTTATTCTCAGACCTACCGAAAAGACACTTAAATTTTTATGAAAATCGGTTAAGAGTTTCGTAGGAGTTTGGTGACAAACGATGACACAAGAGTTTTATATAAACACTAGTAGACTCGGCCAAGCGTTGCTGTGGCTAAGGTTTTTGTTACAGATGTTAAATAGTATCTTATGTGAAACGATGGTACTTTCAACACAGCGCGGCGCCATCTGTTAGAATTGTGATTTGTGACTGTCAAATAATAACAGACAAATAATTAGCAATAAATTAAAATTGCGACTATAATTTGAGATTTAAACTATCCTATCTCTCAAGGAGGAACGAGCAATGGGAAAAATTTGTTACTTTTTCAAGGATAAAATAGTTGTGAAAGAACCGAAAGAGGACAAAAGAGATAAGAGAAAAAGAGACTCCACTAACTCCCCAAGCAAATCCCCAACTTACACACGTACTGCGGGCCCAAAGAAGATTAATAAAACTTGCATGCTAGACTACGTAGCACGTGGTAGATCACTGTCACTACCTTCACCATCAACATCAAAAAACGCTCAACAGACGCCGACAACAACAGGAAACCCAACCCAACAATAGAAACACACTTAGCCAAAGAAACATTGAAAGCAATCACCCCAAGACGGTTGGTCACCGTGGGGGAAAGCGACCATTACCCTCCAAATACTACTCCCACTCCCACACCTAAAACGAATACTTGTGCAACTGAGAAACAATTTTATACCAAACAAATATATATAGCCACATTCAACACATTATCCCTAAAGTCTGAAGAAAGCCTTAAAGAACTTCTATATTCTATCAAAAATATTAAGTGGGACATTATAGGCCTGAGCGAAGTAAGAAGGATTGGCGAATCAATTCAGGAATACGATGAAGTCATATTATATTATAAAGGTGAAACTCCAGGAAGACATGGAGTAGGTTTCCTGATCAAGAAAGAACTCAAAAACTCTATAGTGGAAATAATCGGCATATCAGAAAGGATCGCTATATTGAATGTTAGAATCCCTCCAGGCAGAGAAACATGGTCTATAGTGCAAATATATTCACCAACTGAGCAATCAACGAGTTCAGAGATCGACCTTTTCTACTCATCCCTTAACACCGCCCTAAAAGAACACACACACAAAAACTGCATTATAATGGGCGATTTCAATGCACGTGTTGGAACCCCAAGAAACGGTGAAGATGTCGTACTAGGTCCTTACAGTACTGGAAAACGAACACGAAACGGGCAAAAGATGATGGAAATGGCATTTGAAAATAATATGAAAATAATGAATAGTGTATTCAAAAAAGAGCTTCCAGAAGATGGACATGGATATCACCAGATGATCGATACAAAAATGAAATAGACTACTTTTTAACGAACAGACCCAAATCAATCGACGACTGTGGCACCATCTCTACCCTTAACTTCAACAGTAACCATAGAATGCTTAGAGCGTGTTTAAACGCATCATTTAGTTTGAAGTTATGTCGACCCTTCAAAATTAAAACATCCACAATGTGCAGCAACACTAGTATTGCCAACATAAAAGAAAACCTCAAGTCCGTGCAGGTATCATCTCTCGAGCACCTAAAAACTCAAGAGAAATACAACATAATACACGAGATACTAACAGCAAGATCGAAAACCACGTCTAAAACCAAATCACAGGACAATGGCCACATAATATCAGCTAAAGCAAAAGACCTCATAGAAAAAAGATCAAAATTAATTAAAATGACTTACAAAACAAAATCTATCAGAGAACAAATAGGAAAAACTAGCAAAGAAATTAAGAGCCAAATGAGAAGAGACAGAGAACGTCTTAGACGTGACACTTTTGAAAAACATATCATCAAGACGGGTGGCATAAAAAAGGCTCTTAAGCTCTTATCTGACAATACAAAGTGGATACCTAATATGAAAGACCAATTTTGCAAGACAAGGACTATCAGATCGGATATTTTATCAATAGCCACAAAATTCTATGAGAACCTTTACTCCAGCAAATATCATACTTACAATATAGACTTAACTAGCAACGATAATGTTCCTCATATAATAGAAGCAGAAATAAACAAAGCAATTGAATCCCAGAAGAAGGATAAAGCTTCCGGCCCTGACGGGATCAATAATGATATGCTTCAAGTCTGCAAAAAAGAGATATCACCACTACTAAAATACATCTTTAACGATATACTGAGCACTGAACAAATTCCGTTACAGTGGACCACATCAACGATCATCCTCCTCCACAAAAAAGGTGACAGGAGTGACATGAACAATTATAGGCCGATAAGCTTAATGTCAAACATCTATAAAGTCTTTGCGAAAGTAATTTTGCGGCGAAGAACCAGAAATCTGGACGAAAATCAACCTATAGAGCAGGCTGGTTTCAGGGCGGGATATTCAACATTAGACCATATACTTACGGTAAGACAAATATTTGAGAAAACCAAAGAATTCAATGTGCCGTTCTATTGTTGCTTCATAGACTACAACAAGGCATTCGACTCAATAGAGCACGAAAATATCTGGCACTGCCTCAAAAATCAAGGAGTCGACCCAAAGTACATCAGAATATTAAAAAATATATACACGAATAATACCGCTAGAATAAAACTAGAAAAAGTAGGAAAAGAAATCAAAATAAATAGAGGTGTACGTCAAGGAGACCCCCTATCACCTAAATTATTCACAGCTGTACTAGAAGACATCTTCAGAGAATTAAAATGGGATGGGTACGGACTAAACATAAACGGGGAACAACTAACACACCTACGATTCGCCGATGACATCATACTATTTGCTACAAACAAAGAGCATCTAAGAATTATGATTACAGACCTGGAGAGGAAAAGCCGCAAGGTAGGGCTAACAATGAACACCTCAAAAACTAAAGCCATGACGAATGCATCAGAAGATATTATTATAGTAAATGGAGAGTCAATTGATTATGTGAAAGAGTACACATACCTGGGCCAACAGATCTCAACCACTGGTATAATGTCGAAGGAAATTGATACAAGAATTGGGAAAGCGTGGAAATGTTACTGGGGGCTTAGCGAAATCATGAAAAACACAGAAATAAAAATAAATGTCAAATCAAAGCTGTATAACACTTGCATACTTCCGGTATTAACATACGGCTGCCAAACTTGGGCACTCACTAAAATGCAAACCAGGCAATTGAAGACATGCCAGACGGCGATGGAAAGAAGCATGCTAAATATCAGGAAGTCCGACAGAATCAATAATAAAATCATACGAAACCACACGAAGATTGAAGACGTCACAACGAGGATACGAAGATTGAAATGGAAATGGGCTGGTCACGTAATAAGAGGTATAGAAAAGTGGAACAAAAAGATCATATATTGGTACCCAAGAAATAATAAAAGAAAACGAGGTAGACAGTTTCGAAGATGGGAAGACGAAATAAAATCCGTAACTGGGAAAATTTGGACCAGGAAAGCTCAGAACAGAGCAGAGTGGAGAGAAATGGAGGAGGCCTTTGCCAAAGTTGGGCAAACAGATGGGTTGTCGGTGTCACCGACTCACTAGTGTTAAGTTTAAGTTTAAAATTATGTTATTATTTTCTATCTGATTAAAGGCTTTATTATTATTATTATTATATCTCTCAAGTTGGATCGAACTGCACATGGTGTGCAAATTTGATTGATATCGGTTCGGTAGTTTAGGAGTCCATTGAGGACAAACATTGTGACACGAGATTTATATATATTAAGATATATAATTTTTCTTTACGCCGCCTTCAACCTAGCTGAGGGCTTGCGGTTATTGGATGAACTTTAAATTGATTTATTTTCCACAGATGTTAATGCACCTGGGCGTGGTCTGGCTGTCATATCTGGTAGCGATCCCAGTGTACTTGTTGGTGGAGAGTCCAATTTCAAAGATTGTTAAGATCTGCTTAGTTCCTGAACGTCCGCAACTTAAAAAGAAGAATTAACCAATATATTGAAGCTTCCGTTTAATTAGCCTAAGCCGAAGCCGTTGTTATACGTGTTTTCCTAAACAGAAACATGCGCAAACATTTGTATACAAAAACTAATTCAGACCTGCCGGTTTAACCTGCCGACATCACGAGGCGGAATATAAGACAAAATCCGTCTGAACCAAATGTTGTCATAAACCTTTTTTTTATATAGAATTATAAAAAAATAAGATGTATCTACTACTACTAGTCTTTAACTAAGTCATTATGTTGCATATCTGGTTTATTTTGACAAACCTCTGTTAATATAGACAATTATTGATAGTATAGGACAGTTATGACCTGAAGGTCCACTATTTTGTACGTCTACTGCAATTTCTTAATGGAACCCCAAACGCTAACAGAAGGGTATTATTAGATGGGCATATCTGTGTCAACTGTGGCAACAAAGATTCTAAACTTTATAAACAATAAAAGAAAGAAAAGATGATTCAGAAAGTTAGAAATCTAGAAAACGATGATTCCTAGCCACAGTTGATCTGTTGGGCGTTATGCGTAATAAAATAAATAATAGTTATAAACTACTTAATTAAGATCAGTAAGAGCTAGAAACAATACAGAACTACTCTTTCTATTTGACATTCCATCGGCATTAGCACCGACAATTAATTAATATTAATTTATGGCAATACTTTATACCCACGTTTATCGTTCAAGGTTGAGGTACTTCGGTAACTTGAGCGGAAGTTAAATGTCACTATGTTCCCATGCTTGAGTTTCTAAATAACTTAATAATATTCGATTTATTTCTAAAACAGGTCTTTTACGTGTCCCATATGAATAATACCCATAGCAAAATCCAGTTTTTATACCTCCACATGATAATATTTAAATTATCCTATAAATTAATAAGTAATTACTATACTTTTATGTTAGCTCAAAGCTGCTATTGCGTAATTGACTAAACTTTATAAGATTTGTTTGATTCTAGAAAAAATTAAACTAGGCATTAATCCAATTCATGGTACACAGCCACACAGCACCGGAATACTTGGCGTTGACATATCGAACCACTATCTATAGAGTTCAGAGGAGTCATAACATCATAACAGAACTAAATGCTAGCAATCTCTACACGGTGGGGTATGCCGATGTCAGCTAGTATTAGGGAACTTTGAAAGCACCTTATGTGATCTCATGAGAAGTGCTTACAGAGTGATTGAGAGATGGTGCACTGAGCACGAGCTGTCTTTCAACCCATCAAAAACAGAATTAATACGAGTAACAAACAGAAGAGTTCCTGGACCTAACAGACTTCCTTAACTCCTGAACCCAGAACTACAATCAAGGAAGAAATCAAGTACTTAGGTGTGATTGTAGACAGCAAACTGCTCTGGAACAACCACCTTGAATATAACCGAAATAAAGCAACGATCGCCTTCTATCAATGCAAAAAGATGCTAGGCGTCAAATGGGGTTCATCGCGACCGTAATTAGGGCAATACTAACTTATGGAGCTCTGGTTTGGTGGCCGAGATCGGAAGTCCGAACAGAAATCACGAAACTTGGACGCTTCTAGAAGCTCGCCTTGTCCGCCGCTAGCGGTTGCATGAAAACAACGCCAACAGCAGCGTAGAGGTAGCCCTGCAAATTGTACCCCTAGACCTCCACATACAGCAGGAGGCAATACTAGCTGCCATCAGGCTTATGCTCCTGGGTCTATGGAGATAAAACCACTACAGTACACACACAGCGATTCTCAACAGGGCGATAGAGTATCAACCTCTCATAGCCGCGCCATGTGATAGGAACGCTAATCAACACATATTCAACAAGAAATACAATGTAGAAATGACAGAAAAAGAACGTGATCAATCAATCCTGAATGATCTACGCATATATACCGATGCCTCAAAAACAGGTTGTGGCCCCGGCGCTGGCGAATTCTCTCTTGATCTCAACATACATACACTTATCCAAAGTTTACCCTGTTATATATAATATATAAAAAAGGTTTATATCAATACCACAAAATTGAGAACAAATTTATTTAATTATATTTTATGCATATTAAAGTTATGCTTATATTTAAATTTTATTCGTTTATCTTATTATTTTCTGCTACATTATCTACACTTCAGAAAATCCGTGCCACTATTATTTTTTTACTCAGGTAGATAAATGTAATTTCTTGCTAAAAATCCCTCCTTTTAAAATCCTCACATAAATATCTGTTAAATAATATATGCACTTTAGTATAATATAATATATATACAACATTTTATATTTAAAAAACTTAAGAAAAAATAAGTTTTTTCACTAAAAACTAAATGCATAATTTGTTATTTTCAAATAGCGTTAATTTTGTATTTTACCGACGACATAATTATTATTTTTATTTATATATCATTATGAAATTATTTCGTGATTTAAAGTACATGATAGTTTCGTCAAAGTAAACATAATTTAGAAGATATAAACTAACGAATACTATAATTAAAACAGCTTTTTTAAAGTCGATATTCAGTCCTAAACTTCATTCTGACTTTTGACGTCGGATAAACTCTTCTGGTTAGGTGGTTCTTGGATTGATGAACTTACTATGTTCGACAGTAACGCCTTCCACAACTGCGTGATTGGTAATTCGATGAGCAGGCACACCGGAATACTCACAATGTATGTGAGGACCGTACCCAATATAAGAAGAGATATCTGTAAAAATATAATACGTGAAATCCAAATGGCCTTTTCGAATTAAAAAATAGTTTTATTTCTATTCATTTATTAATCCTATATGGCTCAAGGCCTATAAAGAGAAATAGATATATATGTATATCTTACTTTCAAAGTTTGGCAATTATTATGGCTTCTTTTAGTTTAGATGATGCGCTTTTGAACAAAGTATAACATACTAAAATTGATGCTGCCCTGCGATTCTGTAACTCACTTTTCGAACTCACACAGCGGTTTTCGGATCGCCGGTCGCTCTCAAATCAGTCGTGAAGCAGTCATTTTATGATTTGGCATTCTGAAAAGGTGGAAGCTTGTAGTTTATTGTCTATTAGAATGCCAAATCATAAAATGACTGCTTCACGACTGATTTCAGAGCGACCGCCGTTGCGAAAACCGCTGAGTGAGTTCGAAAAGTGAGTTACAGAATCGCAGGGCAGGTATCATTAAAGTATATTAGAAGATAACATTTCTTAGCCAGATATAACATATATCTAACTTTAAAACAATTTTACAGCTTTGATCTCATTACTAACCTCCTAAAATCAATTTTTGTTAAAAAAAATATTCATAAGATAATGCTTTGATACGTGTGAAAAAGTTAATAATATTATGAAACCTACCATTCCAAATATGGATGTATGTCCGAGTTGAGTGTTATATGCGATGGCCAAACGTAAGATAGTGAAATGTAAAATGTAGGCGCAGTAGGTCAATCTTGCGAGGAAATGGTATCCTCGCCATGAGCATATAGTCAGAAATGGATCTGAAAAAATATTATTCACGAATAATATAATACAGGTATTTGTCAATCGACCAACAGACTCATGATTTGCCAATACGCAATGGAATCATCAAAATGAATCGAAATAAAAAAGCTGAAAATGGAGTAATCAGGATCGTACAGACTATGGATTAAGTATTAGGAATGACCACTAAGAAGTGGACTGGGCAAGTCGTAAGAAACAATGGTCCAGTCTGACTCTCTCTCTTTAATCGGCAGCTCATTTGTCAACGTCATGGTCAGCAACGAAGCACCTGGAGCGGACTATCTGTTTCCATCGGTTTCTGTCCAGCGCCTCTCATATCACAGTAAAGTTTTGAGGACGATGAGTCTTTCTCTTGATCCGTCATCTGCTTGGTGAAGGCCACGTGATCTTTTGCCCTCCGTGTTACCAACCACGATCTCTGCGCATTGCATGGCCGAAATAAGATACAATTCGCTGTAGGTAGACAGGCGAGACCGTATAAGGTCACGTCACGTCACGTCAGGTCAGAATCGATGTATTGGTGCGCTTCACAGTCCAACGTATTGCATTTTGACATATTGGAGCCATAGTGCGTGCTAAGTCTCGTTTATGAATCTCACTCTCTACTCCCTCGAACGATTTTCACTCATTGAATGTTTCTTTCCTTAAATCGAATAAACAAATTAAATTTGATTTTTGTTTGTAATGGATACACTCTAAAATCGATAGGAGCGGACCACCACAAATATAAAACAGAGATTTATATAGAAATAACGAAATAAATAAATGTAGAATAACTTTAAGTACTCACTTTTGCATTTACTAATAATCCCCAAGAGGAATATAGAGAACAGTAACGAGAAAATAGTTCGGTCGAACGCAGCGTAGATCACGGAAGCCCACAATGGCGGAGTCCTGTCACCCAGGAATGGGATGCCGATGAAAATCACCACGTTCACGAGGTTCAACGAAAGCTGACTGAAGATATTAAACCACTAAAACCAAATAATCTTTTGTACGTATGACTGCAAGGCGCTTTTTCTGAGAAGTTTCATTACGAGTTTTTCTGTTTTTCACCTTGTCTTATAAATCTTTAAAAAAAAATCCGTTTAGTTGATATAATAGACCATACCTCTATAAACACATATATATATATAGTTTAATCAAATCATTTCTTATATTATATTAAAATCTCCCATTCCACGTTAACTCTCGCAGATAGTTTTCTCTATTCTTCGCCGGAGAACGACGTATAGTATAAGATCCCGATATACAACGACCTTCACCGAGATGTTTATTTAATGAAACGTATTTTATATTTAATTTAATATGTCAATAAATATAATCCATAAGGGTTGCCTAGCAAATTTCAGTCCAGAGTATGTTTAATTAATATTTAAAAAAAAAATTTTTTTTATAATTTGCATGTAGCAAATTTTTTAAATTTTTTTCAATCAATATTTTTAATCAGGGTAGTATTATATATGTATCACTATAACTTTCTTTTTTACTAAAGATGTATATATACTTTAGTGTCACATAAAAAATATACACATAAATAATTAATTGATTAAAAACAACCTAACGTTTGCATATTCTATGGGCTTCATACTTTCGATTGGTATAGAATTTATCTAATAATCATACCGGTGAAATGTTTAAACAAATATTTTTTTTAAATATTAATTAAAATACTCTGGACTGAAATTTGCTAGGCAACCCATATGGATTATATTTATTGATATATTAAATTAAATATAAAATACGTTTCATTAAATAAGCATCTCGGTGAAGGTCGTGTATATCGGGATCTTAGACCAGTAAAGCGTATATTAATAGGAAGTACTTAATCGTTTATTAAAAGATAAACATAAGAATCAAATATACAGTATTTAAAATTTTCTTAACCTACGTAGTAATAATAAAAATAATTAAAAATTAATAAAAAGAAAATTAAAACAAATTTTAAAAAGTTAGCCACTATTAATTAAAAATACCTTATTTTCATTGAGTTTTACACCGTTTTGCTGATTGTTATAATGAATGAACCCCACCGCGATGCCACATGCGTATCCCGCTAAGTTCATCCACATTGGCAGATATATAAGTTCTTGTATCTTGGAATCCTTATATATTGTGCGAAGTACTCTGAGGAATATTTCATATAGTAAAGGAAAATTCTTTCATTGACGCATGAAACTAAAAAATAAACTTTATATTATACCCCTTACCATTAATCTCCAGTTTTTAAACGGTAAAAATAAATACGTCACCGATATATAATCGACATGGTTGTATAACAATGTCGGATTTGAATAAAATCCAAAATCCACTTTTTATCATATTTGGGTACTACATTGACTAAATATTACGGCTACATTAAAAAAAATCATGTGTTTTAAATTTCAAATTAATCAGTCGGTAAAGTGACGCTAGAAAACTGTGTAATTTAATGTTATTATATTTATTTAGTTTCAAAAGAAGCCCTTTTGTTTGCTTGTATGCCAATTTCATAATTACAGAATAAGAATTAAAAAAGTTATGACAAAAAACTAACGTGATTATATTATTTTGAAATGGCTGCCTTGTAAGGTTTACTATTTGTCAGATCCGTCAATATTCTACGACTATGACGTATGTATTTATATATTTTGTTCAGTTATATTAACAGTACCCGGACTGTTGCTAAACCGAATTCTGTCCAAAGTCGGGCTACAACAAATCTTAAAATAATATTTAAATAAATTCGAAATTATTTATGATTATCTATAGATATCATTTGTAATACAATAACTTTAATAGGAAATTCTAAAATGGTAGTCTTAGTAAAAATATATTCTAAGGCGAAACGGAGGTCGCGGTGGCAGCAATAATAACATAAAGATATTAATGTAGTTTGTCTAATCTAGTGTTCATACGTGATTGAAACGAAGTATAAATAAAACACACTGCACAACAGACTGCTACCGAATAAGAGGAGCTTCAATTTGAGTGTAACATCCACCGTACTTCCCGAAATGATCTCCAACAGATTACCATATTTTTTAAAATTTGGATAACCTCTTGCAAGGTAAAAAATTCAACTCTGATGAGGCAGTCGTAATCGCCTTCAAAGATTTAATTGATTCCCATCCAAATGTTTTTTTTTAGTAAAGGGATTTTTAAACTACCTAAAAGATGGTAAAACTGCATAGATAGCAATGGTACTTACTTTGATTAATCAAATATATCCTATTTAAAAAATCTACTTTTGGTTCCTGCCATACAAAACGTCAATTTCATATGTAAGTTCTTAATATATGTTAGTTATGCTCACTCAGGACTTTGTGCGGCAATTATAGGGAGAAGATTATAGTAGTAAACGTCGAAAGCAGTCCAGGCTGCAGAAACCACCAATATCGTTGTCAATACTGGAAATACGAGTCGGCGGAATCGAAGGAGGACGAACATGAGCAGAATTCCAAACACATGCAACTGAAAGTCCGTTGCGATGTACCTGAATAAAAAATAAAATAATTCCATAAGAACTTGTTTATTTTTTTTTTCAGTTACAGTTATGAATTATTTTTTTAAACTGTTTACAACGTCGTATACAGAATATTCAACAATATTCTTTTTATATGAAACTTCTTTAATTTTTTAAATATTTCTATGTTAGTGTGTCTTTCGTGGCTTGACCTTAAAACGATGGTTGTATGGATTTGTAGAGTGCTTGACTTACCAGGTTTGTGCACTACAGAACTTTCCAAGAGGCAAATAATTTTGGATATGGATCAAATGGTACGGCCAACGCTCCAAGCAATCTTGGGATTCCCGGTCGACGACCCAGGTCCAATGAGGCCCCGATCCCATGAGAGGGTACCAAGCAATTGAGAACCATATTACAAACATCGATGTTGGTGTCAACCTGCGGATTTACAACACAAATACATATTTCGTCAAATAAGGAAAACATCGAAAATCAATATGTATGTTTTCTTTGTATGTAAAGAAAAGAAAAAAATAATCTTTATTATAAAAAGGATGTTTACTTAAAACAGAAAGTGCACTAGCATGATTCCCCGTGTTGTTGCGTGCGTTGTCGTGTGTTTGCGTGTTGTTCCCACGAGAATGTAAGTGCGTGCTCCTATTTCACCATGCCTCCTGCTGATAGGGGACAAGTCTTTGGTTTTATTTATGTTATTATTATTAATTACTTAAAATGTCATGTGGAACATGGTGTAATGGTTGCAGCTCCTTACAAACGTTGTGTAAAAAAAAAAAAAAACATGGCGATTAAAAAGAGTGGCGGAGAGTTTATTGCCAGTTCTTCTCTTCCGTTCTACGCCCTTGATTTGAGAACTGGCAGTAAATGTAAAATTAGAAGCATGAATATTTATTTCTTTAATGACGAATCACAAGTGTACATTGTGTTACCTACGTGAATAAATGATTTTTGAATTTGAATTTGTGTGGGCCGCTAGTCTCTTCCATTGGACGTATTAACTCTACTTGATATAATTCTACGTAACACATACAATTTATAATTAAACTACTGTTGCTATAAGAACTCTAAGAATACTTTCCGTTTCAGCATAAGATAGGTTGAAAAACTGTTGTTTAAGAATGTATAAAGTTTTGGATCGTTTGTGATTTTTTTTTTTAAAGTGGTTAAAGACGAAAAAGCCTCTTCTGGAAAAAAGCGTTGGGCGAAGAAAGTGCGTTTTTTGGTAGCTTATATACTGCTCAAAACAATTAGCGGAACAAGATTTTTCTCCTTTCTATTGCTTAAACTAAAATTAGATTTAAATTAACTTGTACGCTATTTTTTACCTTGTTAATTACTACAATTAATAAAAAAAAATACAAATTGAATTTTTTTTGGTTTTTTTTTTAGGTAGTATATATAGGTTTACGTTGTGTATGGATCCAGGAACGAATGGAAAACAGATTGATAAAATAAAGTGGACATTTGTGATAGTCTATTTAATAGAGCTTTATTTATGAATCCATACAAAAATTGGTTGGTTAACATTTATGTATTGGTTGTGTCAGTAAACGTTGAAAAAATTAAGTTTCCTAGTCATCCTAGATGTTTGAGCGACTCATGGCCATGTGTAATACCTTTTCAGAATCCCTATTAAATGCGCCAAAACTTGTAATACATGGTCACTTTTCGGTAGAGTAATTTTTATTCACAGTGGGGTCCGAAGTAAACAAAAAGTTATGATTTGAAATTTTTTTATATCGTATAACTTCATATTATCTTCAAACACTCAATAAACAATTATAAATAGTATGTCTTATGCATGAACTCATCAGTACCAATCTAGTGGATATTATTAAAAAGATTTTTTCGAATTTTAACAAGAATTAGTAGAAAAAGTAAATTTTCTTATAAAAATAAATTATAACTCTGCAGGGTTGAGCTTAGAGACCTCCCGTAGAACAATTTTTTGCAGCTGATGACCTCATCTATCCCCTATTTGCGTTTGATCCACGACTTTTTGGCCATCCTGTATATCACGACTGCATTAGGGAGCGAGATACTTGATCCCCCCCCCCCTATATAACGTGCCGTAACGTTTTTCTGTACCCAATAGTAAAACGTTTCGTGACCACCTAGTGACTCTTTATACCTAAAAGTTACCATTATGTGGCGTAAAGTAGTGGAAAATCGAAAATAATATTAACAATAACGCATAATTCAATCCCCGCCCCCGCATCGTAACGTTTTACAAAAGGACCCCCCCAAAATTCGTTACGTAATACTTGAACGCTCCCTCACATAGATAAAACCGCGTAGCCCAGTTAGTATTTAATCAAGTATTACCTCATCCACCTATGTGCAATAGCTAAAATGCAGGTCCCAATTGATAACTCCCGTTTCTCTGTAAATATGAGTAACGAATACGCCGTGATAAAGCCAGTTATCGTGAAAAATGCTTGTACCCACAGCGGTGAGTTAAATACTAACTTCCAACCAATATTATCGTACATCTGGAAGCATAAATCATCAATAATATATCTGACAAACATTTATTTTTTAGCAGTAAAAAAGTAATCTGATTAATATAGAAAACTACATCATTAAACCTTTTATTAAAGGATATTATCAGTATTTGATATTGGCATTATGGTTTTCACAATTTATACAACCTCGGACTCGGGTTTAATTTTCTAGAAACACAAGATGGCCGATGTTTATTAGAAGCTATATTAGTTTATTTATTAGTTAATTTAAGTTTATTTATTTAAAAAGTTACACTATTATATGGTAGCTAATCATACAGACACTGGAGTCCACACTAGGGTGGTGGTATGGTGGAACAATACAAAACATTTAAGACTAATGTATGATATAATTAATTTAAAATTAAGACATTGTTACGTTACGCCATAATCTGTAGCAAGGATTCTTTGCTACAGAAATTCAGAGATACCTAGGTAACACTGAAAATGTTTAGAAAATGAAAAACGGCTTAATGTAGAATAGTGTCAATACTTTTATTGTTTTTCGATGTAATCTCCGTTCCTCTCTACACATCGTCACATTCAGAGAAGACTTCAATAATTAGGAGAGCAACGGGCTGCCTTATCTATTTTAAGCAATCTTTTCCAAGCGACCTTTAGTAGTTTGTTACCATTTTTAATAGACCTGTTATTTGTTCATAATATAAATTAACCTTACCTCTTCCACATATTCAGGATTGTCCGTGTAAGTGTAAACAAAACACAGTAGAACATGTGCAAAGATAACACCTTCGATTGCGATGACTCTGAAATAATTCAAGAATTCTAAAATTTCTCGGTTCTATCACATTTTTGATTTGGTTTTACATGCACGCTACACGTTATTAGTAGATACAGAATACTTTTTAATTGAATATAAATTGGTGAGAAGAGAATGGAGACCTCGACAGAAGAAAAGCCCGCTCGGCCGCCCACCGAATAGGTGGACTGACAACAGCGTTAAGAAGGTTGGCTTCCAGTGAATGCGTCCAGAAAGGACAAAAATAGATGCTGATGATGATGAAATTAACGCGATTCTTACATATTTACATTCACTGAATAAAATCTATTTAACTATCACTATTTTAAACGCCAAACGATTCAATTAACGCGAATCTTACATATTTACATTCACTGAATAAAATCTATTTAACTATCACTATTTTAAACGCCAAACGATTCAATTAACGCGAATCTTACATATTTACATTCACTGAATAAAATCTATTTAACTATCACTATTTTAAACGCCAAACGATTCAATTAACTCGAATCTTACATATTTACATTCACTGAATAAAATCTATTTAACTATCACTATTTTAAACGCCAAACGATTCAATTAACGCGAATCTTACATATTTACATTCACTGAATAAAATCTATTTAACTATCACTATTTTAAACGCCAAACGATTAAATTAACGCGAATCTTACATATTTACATTCACTGAATAAAATCTATTTAATTATCACTATTAATATATTTTAAACGCCATTACGCATGTCTTAAATAATGCATTTGAAAAATATGATTCTGGTGAAGGTGTATTCAGTATTGTATGAATCACTAACTTTATCCCGTCCAAGCTGTTTAAATCTTTCATACGCTCGTCATTTTTTGCCTTAGATCTGTCACCAAACAAGATCTTCCAATTGTTGATTAATGAAAATGCCGTCAAATATTTATTACCTGAAAAAAAAACTTTTACAGTCCTTATAGATAGATTGCTACGCTCTTCAGTTTCCACGCCCTTTGCGTATAAAAAGTTTATTTTTAAATCTGAGCGTCTCTTATAGAGAAACATAATCGAGGGCTCTAAATAATTACTAAAGCTTAGGTTTCCTAGAAAAGCGGTGCCGTTAACTAACGGCCGTCATTTTACGGTTGTTTAGCTTAGGTTTCCTAGAAAAGCGCTGCCGTTAACAAACAGCCGTCATTTTACGGTTGTTAATAACGGCCGTCTTTACTTTTTAACATAATACAAAAAAAAACAATCATTTTCGCTCGTCCAAGTCACGTTTCCACTCATTGTATTCAAACTCAAACTCAAACTCAAACTCAAAATATCTTTATTCAAGTAGGTAACCAAGTACACTTTTGAATCGTCAAGTTAAATTAATCGTAAATTTACATTTACTACCAGTTCGCAAGTCAAGGGCGTAGAGCGGGTAAGAAGAACTGGCAAGAAACTTTCCGCCACTCTATTATTAATTAAATATGGGCACCGCTACACGCGAAAAACGTTGAACTAATGTTTATCACCGCTATGACGGCCGTCATGCAAATGACAGCACCGCTATTTGACGTTACGGTGACACTCAACGTTCTCTAGAAAACCTACTCCGATGTTACATATTTATAGACAACGTATAGGTGACGTCACCCAACGTTACATTACGGCCGTTAGGTAACGGCACCGCTTTTCTAGGAAACCTAAGCTTAACCTGATTAGGATGCAGTAAGTCAGTGTTTACGTAAGTACCGAAACTTTTAATTTACAAAGTGTACTGTTCGTATACATTACTTTCAGTAAAATGTTGGTACTTCGAATAGTCGTTAATTTTAATAGGCATATTTTAAGATAAAGAACATTTAATACTCGCTCGTACGGTAAAGGAAAACATCGAGAAGAAAGCCCCTTTAGACGTCAATCAAATGATTGATTAAAAATCAAAGACATGTGTTAGAAGGCTGATTTCGACACACACATACTTAGAAGTTGTAGCATTACTATTTCTTGTGAACAATATATAAAAATATATCGTATCAATCTTGGTTTCAGGCGCACACAAATTCACGTATATGCGAGCTTTTAATTTGAACCCGAAGTTTCAGAACACGTTTAACCAAATACACAAACTCTCTAGTCCTTATTATTTAATTCAATTATTTAATCAGAATTTTTAGTTTAGTTTAACTATAAAGTTAATTTTAAGAACGGAAAGATTACTTCATTTAGTGCAATGAAACTAATTTAGTTTTATAAATAGGTATATATTGATAAATGAGAATTGCTTTAAACTTACCAATTTTAAGCTTGTAAAATTCCACTACAGTAGCGGCTATTGCAAGTATTAAAATCGAGGCCATGACGACACCCAGTGCAAGCGGAGCTCCTGAAGCTCGCTTGGGACCCGGCGTAGAGCATCTTTGCGGTGAAAGCACTTCAGCCTGAAATGATACAAGCTCAATATACTTACGGAATTATTCAATACTAAAACTTTATAAAACGTATAATGTAGTTGCATTATACACGCTAATCCCCTTTAGATATAACGCAAATGAAAGGATAAAATAACAAAAAACTGGACAATTATGGCCGAAATCAACTGTACAATATGCGAGACTATTTAAAGTTAGTACCTTTTTTATCTCTGCCTTTTAATAAATTAAAGAAAAGCTGTGTAAAAAGGCTTACTATAAAGTTAACGATTATCTAGTAGATAAAAGGGCCTGTGAATAGTTCTAGACAGGCTACTTCTAATTAATTTGCGATATTTTAAAATAAGTGTTGTTTGATGATTTGCTATTTTGTAGTACACCGTAAAAGAGTACGCCGTTTTTTAAGCCGGCTTTTTCTCTATACCCTCTGTCTTCTTTGCCGATGAGCCTTGCCAGAACTATAATTATCCTTCCATAGCATCATAATCGAGCTGTGGTAGCAAAAAATTAAAGGTATTTTGTATAATTACAGCCTAAGTATGATACCTGGTGCTAAGAACGATTCCCAACTTTAAGAATTGGTAAGATCCGCGCCACGGGAAGGTCACGAGCCAGAACCTTTAAGAGGGATAAAGTGAGAATCCTACAGGAGGGTCGGACCCCCCAGACCCTGGATCCGCCCTCGATTATTAGAAAAGATATCCTAATTTCCTTCTCTTCTGAGTATAAACTCGGTTATTACATAGTTAATAAAGTTGAGCAGTGTTGGCCAAGTGGCTTAAGCGTGGTACTCTCATCCCTAAGGTCGTAGGTTCGATCCCTGGCTGTACACCAATTGACTTCTTTTCTATATGCGCTTTAACATCCGCTCGAACGGTGAAGGAAAGCATGGCGAGGAAACCGGCTTGCCTTAGACCCAAAAAGTCAACGGCGTGCGTCAGGCTCAGAAGGCTGATCACCTACTTGCCTATTAGATTGACAACTGATCATTAAACAGATACAGAAATCTGAGGCCCAGACCTAAAAAGGTTCTAGCGCCACTGATTTATTTTGTATTACATAGTTAATAATGTGTATTTTAAATCAAACCTGAAGCTCATATTTTTGAACTTCGTTATTGATGCAGGCCTGCGCTGCCTCTACCACATCGGTAGTGTTCACCCCACATCGCGTTATGCAGAGACCTCTGTGGATTTGGGTCCTATTGAAGTGTTTCAAAGTTTGGGAAGAATACTCCTAGAAAAACTTAAGAAATGTAAATCTCAAGAATTGTATCGTTTATATTAATATTTTTTACATTTGCTGATTTCTCTCTCTATATTGGTAAGTTTATTGATATAGCTATTTTTGAGTTATTATTCATCTTTATTGTATTATATTACACACGAGTACACTTTCACGCAATTTTATGCTCATTTTATTATAAAGGTAGCCCGCAAGAGTCGTTTAAAACCGCCCATGTATATTTTACTTTAATTCTGGCTGGGCGGTTCGACTTGAATGAATTTTTTTGTATGCGTTTGGGTGGCGCCCTGGATGGTTTATGATGGCGCTGCAGTTGGTACCTAGGTTTTTTATTATATATATATATCTATAATAATATATATATTATATATCTTTAGGCGCATGAGTAATTTTTATACGGATGAAACGTCACGAAGATGAGCAGCATTTTTGTCAAAGAAAGAAAAGGGAGAGAGAGATTGAGACCGATTGAGAGAGAATGAGATGGGCGAATTACCTTATAGAAAATATACCAAACACATAACATATTAAAATGCCACGTGTTTTTATTTTCGAAAAATTCGAAAACATTTAAAAAAAAATTTTTTATTATTTGTATTAATTTTTGACACTTTTAATATTTTAATGACAATGAAATTCCTAACATATCTTTAGTCTCGGCTATCTAAAGTTTTAGATTTGTATAAATATGAACAAGACTTGAAAATTAGTTTGCCAAAGACATGTGTACTATGTACGCACGCATTTTTTTTTGTATGTAAGACGTGTGTACAGGACAACGTCTGTCGGATCTGCTAGTATTAGTAGTAGTAAAAGTACCAGCGATGGGTTCCCCCATGACCGTAACTGAGAATAGAAAGGTTTTCACACACACTGGATACAATTTAAGTGAGGTAAATAAAAAAAAGTAAAATAACTTTAATTATCTTTAACAACACGTAGTCTGCCTTGAAGAGCCGACATTAACAATGCTACAATCAAGCTAATTGTGGTCATTGCATGAACATAGTATCATACTATATATTCCATCATAGTATGAATAAGATATTAGTAAAATATGACTTTATACTAACCTTTAGAACATCAAGAAGTGATGAAGGCTTGTTTGAATACAGCGCGGCGTCAACAATGCAATATTTGTCCGTGGGCTTCTGACATAACGCCCAATCATCTAAGCGGTAAAGTGGTGGAAACCATTCCAATAGCGTTGCTGACAAATAACATACTTTTTAGCAAATTGGTCAAAAGCGTTTTTGGCGTAGAATGTGGATAATAAATATATTGATGGTAAAGAATTTATTACAGTATTCACTTTATTTATGACTGAATATTAACAATTATAATGTATTTAATGAAACTTTAATAAGTCAATTTTGGGAAAGGACATTAGTTAGAAACGGGTTGGATATTATAGTATAGTATGAAACTTTTTCAGTTCGTCAACGTCAAGATAATATAAAAAAATAAATTTAAAAAAATCAGTGGCGCTACAACCTTTTTAAGTCTGGACTTCGGATTTCTGTATCTATTTCATCAACATTTGACAATCTAATAGGCAAGTAGCCTCCTGTACCTGTCACACGCCGTCGGTTATTTTGTATCTAAGTCAAGCCGGTTTCACGATGTTTTCCTTCACCGTTCGAGGGAATATTAAATGCGTATATAGAATGAAGTCCTTTGGTGCACAGCCGGGGATCGAACCTACAACCTCAGGGATGAGAATCGCTTACTGAACACACTAGACCAACTTTTTCCTCAAAATAGCAGAGAGATATATACCTATGATAGTTTGAGAAAGTATTAGGTAGACATTAGGTAAGCTTTTTACTCAGCCATAACGTTGCTGCCTTGCAATTCTGTAACTCACTTTGCGAACTCACACAGCGGTTTTCGCAGCGGCGGTCGCGCTCAAATCAGTCGTAAAGCAGTCATTTTACGATTTGACATTTTAATAAGGAGGGAGCTTGTAGTTTATTGTAAGAGTTCGAAAAGTGAGTTACAGAATCGTAAGACAGATAACATACTTTTTAGCAAATTGGTCAAAAGCCGCTGACCGTGAATACTGTAAAACATAAATTTGACAACGCATTCAACGCTTCGAGCCAAACCTTAACCAAAGTAGAACCCAGCTTCTACTCCAACTTGTAATAGGAGGTCTTATTTGTAAAAGTAGACCGTCCCTGGTTATGTTTGAAGTTACGTTGTTATATTAAGCCTACGGACTTAGCTTATTAGTTTTTGCATTGCTTAATTAAAATTAATAGTGTAAGTGGTTTCTGGAAATGTTTTAATTAATTTTTGATGAATTCTTTAAAAACAATGTACACGGCTAAACAATAATAAATGTTCGAAAATATAACAATAACATTTTTATTAATTAAATAAAGTTACAAATTTAAAAACCTAATAACGAGTGTGACTAGCTAAAATCACGGCATGCTTTCCACTTTGTTTTAATAACGTTTTGAGGAATACGATCCCATTCTTCTGGAATTACCCTTTTTAGCTCCCCGACGTTTTGTGGAGCAGGTTTCGTGGGTTCTCTGCGCTGAAACAGCTATTGTGCACAAGGGACTGTCCGTCGCGCCAAGGACAACGAGATGTTTATTGTTTATTTAGGAGATAGTGGTCCGTAATTATCACAATCAATACGACTACGTTAGTACTGCTCAAAAAAAGGCAACGTCGAGGCTGAACACGAAATTCCACCCGTATCACCTCGACGTCCGCCGTACTACAACTGAGCGTTTTTCAAGGCAGTTTTTGCCGCGCACCACCACTATGTGGAACCAGCTGCCCACTGAAGTATTTCCGAACCAATTCGACTTAGGGTCCTTCAAGAAAAGAGCGTATCAATTCTTAAAAGGCAGGCAACGCACTCGCGAGCCCTCTGGCATTGAGAGTGTCCATGGGCGGCGGTATCACTTAACATCAGGTGAGCCTCTAGCCAGTTTGCTCCCTGTTCTATAAAAAAAAATAGGAACGAGAAGAAATTTGATAAAAGAGATTACGAATCCTTTCAATGACACTATACACACCCTCATGTACATACCCTCACTCACACAATCACACAGCACAGCCGAATAAGGTATTACGTATTTAATCATTTTTATTGATCTTTTCCTTTCGTAAATGTTTGTACCTTTTTGTATATATTATGTATTTCATCTTTAGAATAATTGTTTCTTGTATAAAAATTATGTTAGTTGTGGGAAGACGCAATAAACAAACAATCTTCTAATATGTTGTGTTTACTTTTAAACCCTAATTAAACTGTTCGCGGAAAATAAACAATTCCTTTACTTGCATGGTACAAAAACGTCTTTCAGTTATTAAATTCGCACGATAAGAATCGTTCATAAACATAATTTGCACGATTAAGTCATTACACGACATTATGTTAATTAAGTGAGACATTAAATATTTCAAATACGATATATATTACAGTTTTTAATTAAAGCACTGGCCTATTTTTATTAACATTTACAATTCGATAGAAATAGATTCAAGAGAACTTCAGTCAAAACAATACAACAACATTTATTGCGATTTATAAATAAGGACCTAAATTGTTATACACAGAAAAACCCTTTTTATTCAAAAACAAAACACAGACAATAGCGTACTCTTAGTCATTTGATATTTATGTAAGAAACGTAAGAATTTGGCTCAGTTGATTAAGTTATTTCGTTAGAACTATAAATTAGAATTGGAGTTCGCACTGAGCAGGAACTAACGTGTGATGTAAGCAAAGCCTGAATATATAGAGATATATAATATATCTCTCTATCAGTTTAAAATTACATCAATATAGCAATAGTTAGACACGCAGAACTATGACTAGATAAAAATTAGATTCACTTTGTTTTAGTACAACCAAATCTCCCTTTACCGACAAAACTTAATGTAGAAACTTTTTACAAATTTAAATTAAAAACAATTTACCATTTAGTTCCATATTACTCCCAATAACTCCTCCGACACTCACAAATAAGAGAAAATAGAACAACATTTCGTTTAATACGAGTTAACCCTGTCCAGCGAATTCTACATACTATTAAATTATTAATGTATTGTGTTCATATAAAAATAAATGTATGTTATAGTCATAGTACAAAGCTGACAAATTTCGACTTGTCAAGTTAAATCTTGAAGCATGTAATAGTTAATTATTTAAACATTGTTACATTTAAAGAAAAACAAATATTATTATTTTTATAATTCGTTTTTAGCCTTTTTAAATATAAGTTCAAGTGCGGTATCTCGGGCACACGAACATAGTGACAAAACATTTAGAACAATAAGACTCATTGACGACTCATTGGTCTAATGGTTAGTACCCCTGACTGCGAATCCATGGGTCCCGGGTTCTATCCCCGGCTGAGACATACATCGATGTGATGAGCATTTGGTGTTGTGCTTAGGTCTTGGGTGTTTAAATAAGTATTTATATGTCTATCTATCTATAATATGTATGTATATCCGTTGCCTAGTACCCATAACACAAGCTTCACCACCTTAGCATGGGACTAGGTCAATTGGTGTGAATTGTCTTTAAAAAAAAAAAAAGACTGTTAATGAACTACATTAAGCTAAGGTAATCCTTAGCTTAAGCTAATTACTAGAATAGTAGAAAATTAAGTCAACTTAATATTACTTATTAGCCATAATTATTGTATAGGCTAGATTGTCATTCATGTAAAGTCGCACTGTCTTTTGTGAACTTTATCTAGGAAAAAAAAAGTAGTTTTACAATAATAGAATAATACTTTTGTAAATAATAATTTCTCGATTGTATACATTGTTTTTGTATACAAGAGATCCCCTGGCCCAAGTCAGTGAATTTTCAAAGCCAACGTTGTTGCTGCGATCTATATTAATATATTAGGTCCTTACATATGAAATTGGCGTATTTCGTACTGGCTACTTTAATCACGATGTTCTCCTCTTTGGTAAGGAATTCCAAATTCAAATTTGTACAGCTATTTACTCATGTATTTGTGCTTCGATGACCGTCATTCATTTGTTTTTTTCTTCTGTTTTTTTCTGTTTGCGTCACTCATTTTACAAAATGGAAAACTTAAAGTATCGCATTATTTACGAGTACGAGTTCCGCCGTGGCACTAGTGCTGCGGAAACGACTCGAAGGGTGAATGATGTGTATGGCGGTCAAGTTGCACAGTTCGTTTTTGGTTCCAACGTTTTCGTTCTGGAAATTCGACCTGCAGAACAAGCCCCGTGGACGGCCTGAGACCCAAGTTGATAATGAAGTATTGAAGGCTATTGTGGAAGCGGATCCATCGCAAACCACGTCCGAGTTAGCTGCAGGCTGCGGTGTTAGTGATAAAACTGTTTTAATTCACTTGAAGCTAATTGGGAAGATTAAAAAGCTTGAAAGATGGGTACCTCACGAATTGACTGTAGCAAACCGGTAAACGCGCGTCGACTGCTGCGTTACATTACTGAACCGGCACAATAATGAAGGTATTTTAAACCGAATCATTACCTGTGATGAAAAATGGATTCTTTACGATAATCGGAAACCCTCAGTGCAATGGTTGGATCCTGGCCAGCCAGCCAAATCCTGCCCCAAGCGAAAATTAACCCCAAAAAAAAGTTACTTGTAAGTGGACTAGTGCCGGTATTGTTCATAGCAGTTTTCTCAAATCTGGCCAGACTATTACGGCTGATGTCTATATATTATATTTAAAATGAGGCTGGTCAATCGCTCCACGCCACTGCTACTTCACGACAACGCTAGACCACACACTGCACAACAGACGGCTACCAAATTAGAAGAGCTTCAATTGGATTGTCTAAGACATCCTCCGTACTCCCCGGACGTTGCTCCAACAGATTACCATTTTTTTTCGAAATTTGGACAACTTCTTGCAAGGGAAAAAATTTAACTCTGAAGGGGCAGTCCAAATCGCCTTCACAGATTTTATTGATTCCCGTCCGACTGGTTTTTTTAGTAAAGAGATCAATGAACTACCTATGAGATGGCAAAAATGCATAGAAAACAATGGTTTATACTTTGATTAATTAAATATTTTAATAGAGACTTAATGAAAGTTTTAATGTATCCTTCCGACATACGTTCAGTTGCGCTACACCTTTAAATTAAGGTATCTGTTTCACTGTACAAATTCTTGCGCCCAACTCGTGATCTGAGGGAATGCCTTTGCCCAAATAACGCAAGGCGCCGCTTAATCACATCATACACTCGCCCATACACCTATACCATACTCGTACGTTGCTACGGTACAGATACCGGCAAACATCTTGAACATTAAGGCAGTGGGGGAAAGTTTGCGCATCGCGGGATACAAACGTCAACTGATTTACCAATCACGCGATCGACATGTCACTCTCCCCGCTGCCGCGCGCCACCGCCCAGTGATACCTAGAAATCGCTTCTGCGCAGGCTAGGACATTTGTTCAAGATGTTTGCCGGTATCTGTACTCAACCGCATGATGAGCATGTAGTGCGCATATATCCATAAGACCCCTTTAGCAGCGCAGGGGACGTGCGTGTAAAAAGACCACCTCCACTGAACTCTACCTAATTATACATTCAGGAGAATTATTTTTGTTATTTCCACACGACCTTCTACGAATGCAGTACTTGTACTGTATACCGTTTTAATGTTTCTATACTTAATGAGCTCCGCTGTTATACTCTGCAACCTGCTTACAAAGAATCTCAAACGCCCTGGAGTTTTTAGATTCATTTATATTTGAAATAATACACCAAATTCATTTAGACGAAGTACCTACCTTTGTGTTAACTGACGCGAACCCTTGAATGGCGTAGGAATGTAGAGTTTGCTGGACAGGGTTAACTAGTATTAAACGAAATGTTGTTCTATTATCTCTTATTTGTGAATGTTGGAGGAGTTATCGGGAGTAATATGGAACTAAATTTTAATAAAAAACAAGATTGTATAATCGATAACTTTTATTTTCGTGAATCTTTCAACATCAGTTTTATATTTACACAATTTATATATCTTATATATTGAAAAACTCATCTAGCAGTAATTTATTGTTGTTCTAACTTAAAATAATATACAAAATATACACTCGTATCGCTATATAACGCTTTATTCGTCGAAAAATATATACAGGAACCATTTCTATAAATGAAAGTACGGATGTCTTTGGACTTAAGCAAAACTAGGAAATTATTAATCCCGACGTTTAAGGAACTTGGATAATGGACGGATTATTTTATTGAGGAATGGAATTAAGTTTGTGATAAAATCATTACAGGTACAGACTATTAAACAATGGACTGTTCCAATTTATTTATTTATTACCTCGATTTATAATTTAATAGTTGTAAAGTTTTGTTAGAAAACTATTTATAACAGCCGAATATTTTCAATTTTAGCATTATTTCGATATCTGTATATTTTGTGTATTGCATATTCATTTTAAACAAGGAAAATTACGTATAACATGACCAAGTTATAATTTATTACTTCCATTGCAAAACAATTATTTATCTACAATTTTATTTGATATAATCGTTTAAATTCTTTCTGAATTTCTAAAACAAATTTCATATTTAGATTTTAAAAAACCTTTAAGGTTACAGCGATGTCGCAGTCCATTTGTGTGCCAAAATTGCTTTAGAAAGCCAATTCAATACAGATTTCGCTGTCCAATTAATTACAATGAAACTTCAGTACCAAAATTCAGCAATGTTTTTCTATAAGATAAGAATTATCATAAAATAAAATTTTATATAACAATACGAGTGTAACCGTCGCCCAATAATCGTTTCAGTTGGAAAATGTGAAAATTCGATTTTAAAAGTGGCACTCAATAAGCAATGGTTTCAATACATTTGATTCGTCCATTTCATGGATAACTAGCAATTTTACTTACAACTATATTTATATACAAAACTATGGAGCCCACTGTAACACTTTCTTTACTAATACGTCAAAAGGAGCCTTCAAGTATTACGTAACGAAATTTTTGGAGATTATTGACACCCCCCCACACCCCTGAAACTCGCCGTAACGTTTTTCAGTCCGCAGTACTGTACCCAAGTATAGTAAAACGTTTCGTGACCACCTAGTGACTCTTAAGTTACTATTATGTGGTGTAAGTCAAAAAAAAATATTAACAATATCGCGTAATTTAATCCCCGCCCCGCATCGTAACGTTTCACAAAAGGACCCCCCCCCCCTCCCAAAATACGTTACGTAATACTTGAACGCTTCCAAAGCTAGAAGCTAGAAACTTCTGTCAAGGGCTTGAGAACTTACAGTTAAGTCATTTTGTTATCGAACATTTATTCTGAGATTGGTGGGGTATTTAAAATATCATTCAACTTTCAAGCAAACCTGGTGACGTACTGTTGCAGATGAGGCCAAGATAGCCGGAAAGATTGGAACCGACGCCCTTTGCCCCATCTAGGGGTTATAGAACATTAAGTCATATTTCACCTTATTACTCGAAGTTTCATTAAAAGTCGGATCTAGTTCTACAGCTTTGACTGTGTCCTGAACGTTGGATCCGCTCTTAGTGTCACCAAAGTCAAAATACGACAAAAATACGAGTACACACGTACGTCATTTAAAAATCTGCTCATGTAAGATCTTCCCATTCTCATATATATAACGTCGATAACAAAAATATATTAATAATTTGATGTGCACTAAATACAATCCCTTAAAACATGAATGTTCGACTGATTTGTATATACGATTCGTAACACATGAACGTCAATGACGGGACGGTTCCAGCTGAAAGCCTAGCCACACGACAGACCCAACTCGCCGTCGCAGTATAAAACTGCGTCACGTGACTTAGTCACTAAGATATTTAAGTCACGTGACCATACAGTTTAAATTGGCGATAATGAAAAACGAAAATATCTATCTGTCGTATGAAATTCGTTCCCTCTACCGTCCCATCACAAATCATCTTCACTCCTGGATGACCCATGGTGCCTGTCACAGTATTTAAGTCTAGGTATATACCAGGTATATGCTAAGGCGGTCTAAAATTAGAAGTTTTTCACGATTTAGGCACTGTTATTACACTTATATTGCAAATCTATTCAACAATTTCAGGGAATTTAATTGACGATAATCTTTACTAAAAACTGTTGGTTAGCGAAGTCTTATTTAACTTCGATAAGCAAAATTGAACCGTATACTTGCAAGTTAAAGTTCATATTCCTAGAGACTATAGTGCGTCAAATACGTATATATCGTTTCACGGACTTATTTCGCATATGGCCGGTATGGAACCTATCATTATTTTTATTAATTGTAATATCGCTGATAATCAAGAATCACTATATAAACGTGAAAAGGGCAAAAGTTATGCTTTACGAGAAATTTAGGGTCGGTTCACATATAACAGATCCGGGAGCGTTCAAGTATTACGTCACGCAATTTTTGGAGATTATTAACACGCGCCGTATCGTTTTTCTGTACCCAAGTATAGTAACCACCTAATGACTCTTTATACCGTTATGTGGTAAAAGTTACCATTATGTGGTGTAAAGTACTGGAAAGTCGAAAATAATATTAACAATAACGCGTAATTCAATCCCCGCCCCGCTTCGTAACGTTTTACAAAAGGACCACGTCCCCAAAGAATTCGTTACGTAATACTAAATAGAAAACCCTCGACCGCACTAACAACGGTTGAGTGTGAATCCTGCGTTACATGTGAACCAACCCTTACGTGGTAACAAGAAACCTGAACCAGTGGGCTTGCGATACCATCTTTAACACAAAGTAAAAAGACTATTCTAGGTCTCTCCATATTTTGCTTCTGCAGAAAGGCCACTTAAATATAATTAAAAGGCTACAGCAAACAAAGCTACTTTGAGTAGCTCCTACATATTTGACATTCGTATATAAGGGTGTCAAACGGTTATAATACATAACTTAAAAATAATTTACTCTAACAGTACCACGTACGTACCAAAAATATAATATGAACTTTATGATTTTCTTAGTTTAACTTAAAGTTATGCAGATTAAGTTTAAGCCGAAATTGACTAGAAAATTTGGACGAGTGAGCAGGAATCGAACCTTGTAACACCACTGCGCATACGTCGAAATTTTTCTTTACAATGGACCCACGAAGCACCAGTAAAATATGCCGCAAAACAATTAAAATGAGCAATACTTAACACACGGTACATTACCACTAATGTATCGCGTATACGGCGTAACTTAAGTTTAATATACCTAGTCTGCATGTAATTAAAATGCTTAAGTTTAATGTGAATGTATTTAAGGAAAATATAATAACACTACAGAGGTGTGAACAAACTAAGACCACCGAAAAGTATATCTATCTCTTTCGGTGTGCTCATGTGAGAGCAGGACGACAATTGTTTCAATTTTAGAATCAAATATAAAATCAAGTTTATGTGTGTATTAAATCTGTAACAAATAATTTTCTTTTGCAATAAGGCATAAATTGACAAATCAATGAATATTCTTGTCGTAATTCATACATTTGCATATATTTGGAACTTATGCACGATAACATACTGCCGTCCTTTTCATTTTAGTACCATAAGACCAGGATGGAGACATTTATGGCTTAATCGAAGTTTCTAAACAAATTGCGTCGCGAGCGAGTTCCTGACACTAATATTATTTATTGCATCAATAATTAGAATAATTTATTATTGGTTTAAAATATACATAATATAAGTTTATGTTTATGGTCTAAATAATGTTGTTTTTTTTCTGAATGAATAACAAAAATCTATTAACGCGATTATTTTTTGGTTTGTATCCAAAGATACGAAAAATAAAATAGTATCAGATCTTCGCTCACGAACTTATAAATATTGCAAATCGACGTTTAGAAAGAGACTAGCGCTATTTTTGTCTCGCACAAAATTTTGCAGTAGTATTTTATTTAAAAGCGTATATAATTATTTAAAAATTAGTTTGAATAATTAATTCTCCAAACATTCTGTCATAACTAAGCCACTTTGAAAGACCAATGTGCACATTATCGTATATTTATCGTATTCCTATCTACATAAGGCGTATAATGCAATATCACCAAATATACGAAATTTAAAAGAGCGATCAGTCGACTCCCGCAAACCCTTGGGAGCCTTCAATAGCCTTGATCAACTTCTCCCGTAACTGCTGGTAGGTCTCATATGGCGGCAGATCGATCCTATTAAAACTGAAAAAAAAAATCTATTTACAAACAGAAGAACACATTGTAGAAGAAGTGTATACTGAATAACGTGTATACTGTATACTGAATAACGTGTATACTGAATACACGTGGATACTGAATAACGTGTATACTGAATAACGTGTATACTGTATACTGAATAACGTGTATACTGTATACTGAATAACGTGTATACTGAATAACGTGTATACTGAATAACGTGGATACTGAATAACGTGTATACTGAATAACGTGTATACTGTATACTGAGTAACGTGTATACTGAATTATGTTTAGGAAACCTTTTGTATGGCAATTAAGGTTTACAATAATTTACCAAAAGAATTAAAAGATCTTCCGACTAGAGTCTTTAAAAATCGACTTGGTGTATTACTTTTGGAAAAAATGTAAATTTATATAATAAATTATTTGCGTGAGACACTGTAGTTGATATAAGTTTAATAAAGTTTGACATATGTACGATACGGATAGTATAAGAATCGACCAATTCATACGACTAATGGTGTAAAATGTAAAATTCCTTTAAAGACAAATTTGCGCGCCATTGTGTGTGGCAGATTATGCGAACTTACGATTGTACCACCTTACACATTTTTGTACCATGTTCTTGCAATAAATTATTATTATTATTATACTGTTGATCCTACGTTATGTTTTGCCGGTATTTTTTCTGCTTAACAAAAACTCCTAGTATTTTTATTAATTATATTTTTTGTAACATTTTTGTTAACCAAAATTGCAATATATTTAAGATAAAAGCTTGTAACATATACCATAGATATTAGATAAAGTATTACGTATGATGTGGTAAACTTTAATACATAGATAACGTTTAAAAGAGTCTTAGCGCCTTATGTCAAAAAATTGGGTATGGATGTGTCATGTACGCGACCGTGTACGTGAATACGTTTTTGTACGTATTTTGACGACAGTGATAATTAAAACTTAAACAAACGTCGTAGCTTTTCCGTGTCAAAAGTTATACTTGCACATCTCGTTACGCAGTAAAATAACTTCAAAATGGCGGAGCTTGTCCGTCAATTGCGCGCGATGCGTCACTGTTCTCGCTTATCATAATTACTTTTTGAACCTTTAGCTGTCTAGTGGTTCGAAACTACAACGCGCAACCGTAATGCCCGCGATTTTAATATTATTAGGTTTCATTGCCCCCTATGGTAGCAAATGTAGTAGATTAATAGTTCGTGCTACTCTTAACCATTTTTTAAATACCACTAAAATATCCGTCTTTTCGGAACTCAGTAACAAGAGTACTTAGTATAACATTGAATTATAAAATAAACATTTGAAGATAGTTATGGAAAACTTAACAAGCATACTGAAAGTATTTTGAACTAAACTAAAGCGCGATCCTACATAGTTTAAATATAATTGTATAGACAATACTTTCGAGAAGTTAAAAACTGTAATTACGTACACGCTGGAGTACGTAGAATTCGCCTTTTTCTGTTCTCTATTAGTGTGTGTGTGTGTATTTCACTTACCACGTATGTGCTCGGGGATAATTCTCGGGCGAGCCCCATTTCTCAATAGTGAATAATTGCGGGCCATTGGAGCCATACAACTCTTTGAATCCGTTCATTGGCACACGAGACGTGCCCGTAACGAATTGGAGGAGGCGCGAGCGCATCTCATTCGAGAATGATAGAACCACCTGCAATATTTAGTATTTTTGAAATAATTTTTTTAAGAATAACTTTAGTCTTTTTGATCTCTCTACCATGTTTAATCTATTACTAAAAAAAATATCGTATGTGTTGGAATTTTGCTTTCTGTGTTAATAATTAAAGTAAGGTCTTATTTTAAATTGCAATCAGATGGGCTCCAACTTAGCAAATAGTGCAGTTTCATTAAACTCGATTCAGTAGTTTTTGAGATATGGGTCCACGCATTTCTGGAGGAGACAACATTTTACCTGTATTCTTCTGAAATAATTAAACAAATTCATCTTACTTTATCTTAATTTATATGATCTTTCTGCTTACAAAAAGAGACTACAAAAGAATCATTATATAGCCACCAAATTTTTTAAATAAAAATCTACTATGGGAGTGTTCAAGTATTACGTAACGAATTTGGGGGGGGGATTGAATTAAGCGTTATTGTTAATATTATTTTCGACTTTCCAGTAATTTACACCACATAATGGTTACTTTAAAGAGTCACTGGGTCACAAAGCGTGTACTATACTTGGGTACAGAAAAACGTTACGGCGCGTTACATGGGGGGTCAATAATCTCCTGAATAATAACTCAGGTCAATTTTTTAAAACACAACAGGAAATACCTTATCATTTTTGGGGGTACAATAATAAAAACTTACCCTCCAAAACCACTGGACGACCAGATGGTTCGCATGATAATCTCCCTTATACAGGGTGTTAGCACGCCAATCCCTCACATCTATGCGCTGTATACCGCAGAGTAACAACTCAAGCTCGTGTTCATCGAAGATCTTGAGTAAAGCTGGTGGCACCAGAGCGCCAAATCCTTCAAGGAACGCGTTCATTTGCTCCTGAACACGACGCACGAAACGCCATTCGATCACAGATCTATACACAAAAAGTTCGGTTCATTTCACCGGATTTTTTTTATATACATATACGAAAGGCAAACGGGCAGGAGGCTCATCTGATGTTCACGGGCGGTGTCATTGCTCGGAATGCTTGGAAAGGTCGCAAATGACATTGGCGGGTCTTTCAGTATTTTCCGAACCAATTGCCGCACTCCACCACTAGGAACCCTGCCGAAAAAAGGTCCACCTACAAAAAAGAGCGTACCAATTCTTCAAAGGCCGGCAACGCACTCGCGAGCTTTCTCTTATTATTCATGAGTATCACTTAACATCAGGTGAGCCTCCTGCCAGTTTGCCCCCTGTTCTATAAAAAAAGGTTGTAAGAGAAGTACTCACTTGATATATTCATCTTTATTCTCGTTGTCGACTGAAATATTGGCCCCATTTGTCTTCAGTTCTCTCTGGTACGTCTTTCCGAATTGCTCTTCATCCACTGCGAATGTCAAATATAATTCCGAGGGATCGTTATCCTGAAATTGACACATTTTTTCTTATATATATTTATCTTTATTGGTCGACTGATTGAAGCGTACAAGCGTGCGAAAAGCGTAGTCAATTATTTTTTCTTAATAGGAAAATAAATAAGTTTTTGGATCATACATACATTCTCACGCACATAGAAAGAAAATTGCATTAAAGCATTCCGTGATTCGAATGCATGACCTTAGTGATGGGTCAATAGCATGTCAAATAGAAGAATGTCTCCTTACCCGTATCCACATTAGTGAGTTATAGTACTCCAAGTCAACAGATTCCATGTCTTGAAGATCAATGGGTTTGGCCAGCATCATCTTGTAGAATGGACGGATAAAGAATGCTGCAAATATTTTATTTTAAAATTAATACACATAAAACTCCATCACAATCTTTTAATATATAAAATTCTCGTGTCACAATGCCGAAACGGCTCGGATTCTTATGAATTTTTTTATGTATATTCAGTAAGTCTAAGGATCGGACAACATCTATTTTTCATCCCCGTAAATGCTAAATTTTTTTTTAAACAAAATTTTTTGTTTTTAATTTTTTTATCATACAGGATACAAAAATACATACAACCCTTAATTTTTACCCCTCTACGATCAACCCCTATTTTCTATTTGTTAATTAAAACTTATGACTTGAACTCGGAGTTTTATATAGAGAAAAAAATCACAGAAAAACCTAAAAGTTCATTCCGGAAAACCGAACAGTCTCTGCGGTAGTATAGCTAAATGTTCCATTTTGTACGGTTGATACGGATGTTCTCTCCGTTGTTCCCTCTCTCTCTCTTTTCTTTCTCTTATTAAAATCATTTTTCAGAACCAGTGGCTCCAATTATTTTTAATTACCGCAATAACTTTTTTTACAACAAAATAAGGGCAAACACATGTAACAAATAGAGGTACATATACAAATATCAAAACGGTAATATGTATTAATGTTAGAAGAAAATACTTACCATCAAGCAGTTTCCCATGGTACACAGCCATACCAGCGACACGACCAATAAATTTAAAATAATTGAGATGCTCCTCATTGCAAACCCCACTGTTGGGGTTTATTTGGAGTGTATAGTTATCCATAGCAGAGTACTCGAATAGACCATAATACGGGTTGAACATTTCCTTCGACAGCAAGAAGAACCATTCACGAGCCAGACCGCCATAATCTGTGGAATATATGTCACGAGTGTTTTATTTATAGTCTTTGCGGAGGAGGTTCTATACCTGAGAATATTTTTTTTACTTTTTTTTTATTGTGATGTATCTGTTTTGTTTCCCAAATAAATAAATTACGTAAACCAATGTAATTCTTATTTGCTCATTCACAAAAATTATAGATTATTGTATTCATATATTGATGATTGCTGTTTATAATGACATAACAGTGTTGTCAACATAAAAAATTAGCCCTACAGCGACCTCAAATCTACGACGGTTTTTTCTGGACTATCTATAAAGAAAAATGCCCATATGCAAGTTGTATAGATTTAAAAAAAAACATTCGTAACTTAACATAGTTACAAAACAAAAACTAAATTTTTAGTAGAATTAAATTCTGTATTTGTAATGAATAAGCTTGTAGAATGTAAATTATATATCAAAATAATTATTACTTAATTATTTTTTTTTTCATTTTTTTTTTGGTTGCTTGTTTAATTTTTTCTCTCGCTACCTTGCTTATGTTCTAATATAATGTATGTGTGTGTGTTTAAAATTTGTGATGTCATATTTTGTTGTGTTTATGCACGTTGTTTTAGAACTTATAAATAAATAACTCACCCAAGCCGACTTCAGACTCGAACTCGACCCACAGCTTTGTCTTCAGAAGATCGACTCGACTGACGGAACTAATGATGCGATAAGAGTCCTCCAGAATCGAGTTTCGACGGACTTTTATTTCAAACTTGTTTGGTACGTTACTCTGAAAAAACGAATAAATTATTAATACACAAATACTAGCAACCATGTGACCCGTAAACTTTAAAAAATATTCTATATATTGGTGAAAACCACAATGAATTCCGTGCATTTTTTGAGTTCATTGCGAACATAGACCCGGCGGAGACCTTGTTTTTATCTACACAAATATTATATTGTAAGGTTATAGGGAGTAATCTCTGGATCTACGGAACTTATTTTAAAAAAAACGTGTGGCACTCGGGGACTGCCGCGGTAAAGCTATTGCATAGCATTTTTTATCAACTTATGCAGTAATAATTATTTATTTATGCAGTATTTGTTTTTCTTTGATATTATTTTAATCTACCACTCTACCAGACTCGGACTAAAACGCCTATATAGTCTGTCTCACTCTAACGCGTACCGGCTGCACCGGCCCCGCTCACGCTACGTCACCGAACTCGTCAGAGAGATGGGAATGCGCAGTATGCGTTTTATCCCACTCTAACGCGTAAGGTTTTTTCGTTACGGAATATCTTGATTCGGTCGCCGCGCTCAAAGCCCGCGATAAAATCTATGCAATAGCTTAAAATTCTAATACCACTAGAACACCACATTACTTGTAAATGTCACAGACTATATATTTACCCAAAAAATATAAACACTTTATCGTGGTAGTCGGTCAAGTGTGTCGCAGAAAAAGCGCTCGAACGAAAACCTACGTTCTAACGCTGCTTTAACGCTGCCTACAGAAAACTGCTAGCTTGATAAGGCCTACAAAATTCAGCGACAACATATATTTAACTTTTACAAAATAAATTTAGTTTCACTAAGTTACTGCCGAACTAGCTTGTGTGGGATCCCATCGCAAGCAAAAATTTTACTTAAAGGATTAAACTATTCGTTTAAATTTTGTATCTATTATAAAAAAATGAATCGCTGAATGTGTTGCTTAGCGCAAATCTCGAGAGCAACTGAACCTATTTCTCTAATCCTTTTTGAAGTTATACTTCTTTAGGCGCGTTATGAAAAATTGATGAGAGTGAAATTTTACGATGCGCGCGCACCTGAGACACAAAGTTGTCAGTGTGATTATAGCGTGCGCGAGCGAGATGGGAATAAGACAATCTACAAGTAAAAAGAAATAGAATATGCGTAAAGTTAGCAGCTACGCCAAGAATTTTGAATGACCATAATGACATTTACCTTTTAAACAAATAAAGGAGTTTTAATTATTTTTTCAAAGAAATTAAGCAATGTTTTTTACAAAGACCTATTGTTACTTAGTTAAAAGGTTATGAAACATACCAAGTTATTAAATTGAATGAATAATATAATAATATAATAAATAATAATTGTTATTAATATTAATTAAAAGTTTAATAATATACTAAATATTATTAAATTGTTTACGTTAAATATTAATTAATTATATTAAAAAAAAGAAAGCCAAAGAAGTATACCTTCTTACGCGCGTACATAAGTACACGCACCCTTTTTTTTATAATATTAGTTGAAGTACGAGGATGGTTCTTACGGAGAGAAAAATTAAAAAAATTGCCTGAAAAAGTCTAACAACAACACTTTTCTATATTCCCAATATTCCCATACAAAAGATTCGTAATACTTAAAAGTAAATTTGAACTTAATACCATAAAAAGTTTAAGTTTAGAGGATTGGAACGCAAAAAATTGAGATGTATAAATATTAATATAAATAATTATACGATGGTAACATTATTTTAATCCAAAATACAGCGCTAGATTATATAAAAAAATACAAAAGTTAATCTTCTACGAAACTAGTTAATAAGATTATAATACACATATTTGATTGAAACTAAAAATAATAAAAAATTTAGTATCCGTTAACTATCGTTCCACGTACGTTATACGTGCCTTGCGTGTACGTTTTTGTTAAAGCGTGTATTTGTATTAATAGTTAAACGGTAAACAAAACTCACCGGCTTACGCAACTGACTCTTGAGGTATTCGTACTTGCGTTTATAGTCGCGAGAGTAAGGCACAGCTGGACCAGCGATATGGGGATTGGAGAGACGAGGGTCCTCCCATTGCGTGATGCGGGTATCTGCAATTATTTCCCAATTCATATTTAAATGTAGACGATGAAATATTTGTTGTTATTATATAGGTACATGTGGTATCAGGTTCTTTTCATTGCGTAAATACTTTAAAAAATTAAAAAGCATTGTTTACAGTTAAATGTTTTAGAAAATCTAGTATTTATTTCTAGGTTTTGTTATTTTTTATGCCAAAACTATGAATAATATGTAAGTAATAACAAATCAAGATGTCATCTTTGTATCATTCTTGTAACTGTCTATACTCTGATTCTTAATTCCGTAGAATTCTGACAGCTATAATTTTGACATGTCAGTGATGGCAAACCTTTTTGGCCGGGCACATTTTTCAATTTCAATACGAGTCTGAACATCTGAGTCTATACATACATTTTATTGTTAGATAATGTAATGCTCCACATTAAAAGTGTTTTAACGGCGAGTGGTAAGTAGTAAGAAAAGATAACATTTTATTTTATTAAAAAGGTTTACTAAACCTGGAATTTGTAGGCAGTGTTTTAATGATTAGATTGAGTAAGTAAATATTTAGATTTACCTTTTTACAGGTAAAACATAAAAATACAGAGCATTTTATTTTTTTATTGCTCTCAAATGGGTCAAATTTGTCCCTTTTTCGAACAAAACTTTCAATGAAATAAATAGTTTTTTTCTATTGTTAGTGTCGTTTTTTCTACAAACTTAGAATAAAAATTTTGAAAAGATTTTTTATCTTGTTACACCATAGAAGTATAACTACTAACGCGTGAACATTTTTCACAATATTTCATCGTGCCTTTAGATGATGTACCCAACCATTGTTAGTCCTACGACACCGAAAAAAAAATTACCGGTTAGTAGGGGCACAAAAAAACCAGTTTGACCTTCAAAATATCTCCATTCAACTCACTGTGATCAATAAAGAAGATACGTCCATCTGTATGTACGCGTTCCTCCCAACCCTCAGGCAGCGGACCCAACTCATCCGCTTCCGCTCCCGCGCTCGCTAGCGCTGCGCTCGGCAAATTCGATGCACATCCTGAAAAATATTACGCATTCCTTAAATTATATTATCAATTTCGATCGGTAATACCTAAAAAAATCTAATATTTTATTAGTTACCTGTTCTAGGATCGACCCAAGTAGTTGTCTTATTATTGTGGTCGATGAAGAATACTCTACCATTCGGAGCACGCTGCATACTCCAGCCTGGAGGTAGACCTGCAATAGAATATACTTTAGTCAATAATTTTCGGTTTTTGCTATTTTTGTTGATTCTCAAACCAACAAAAGTAGGTGATGCAGCCTCCAGTGCCTGATACACGCCGTCGACTTTTTGGGTTTAAGACATGTGGTTTCCTCACGATGTTTTCCTTTACCGTTCGAATGTTAAATGCGCACATAGAAAGAAAATCCATTGTTGCACAGCCGGGTATCGAACCTACAACCTCAGGGATGAGAGTCGCACGCTGAAGCCACTAGACCAACACTGCTCTCATTAGTCTAACTAAAATTCAGGAGCGGTTTTGACATATATATGGGAATGAAAGTTGCTTGCTATTTTATCTATAAATATTTTAAAAAATACAAACCATCGCTATTAGGTAAGTTCTGACTCTGGGTGCTGCTGGCACTGCTGCTTCGTGTACTCTCCGAGGAACCGTCCGACTCGTCCTAATAACACCATATTTTTTACCTTCCAATCAGTATTAAACAAATAATGTTATCAAAAGTAATATAGGATAATAATATTAACTAAAAACCAACTATTCATTTTTGAAAAGAAACACCCTTTTTGCTGAATTTAAAATAGTTTAATATTATTTTTGTTTACTCAATAAAAGAAAATCATTAACACCCAAATATCCCAATCTAGTTGTATTAAAAATTCCATACCTTACTAACTCCATGCAGTACTGTAACTATGCTAAATATTTAAACATGCCATGCGCATGCGCTACAAGCTTAGCGGAAGCAAACCTATAGAAAAAGCTTGAGTTCTATGAATAGAAACCGGTGCAGTCATTCCAAAAATCTTACCAAATGATTTCTTACGAATTTTGACCTATTTACATAATTTTTTTTTTCATGCCAAAATCTCCCTTTAGTTTAAAGCTGTTCCTGTGTTCGCGAAAGATTTTAGTACGAGAATTTTATTTACAATGTGCGTGTTAGGACTTCGTGATGTCCAAGGTCCTCCGTATGAGCGTTTGTTATGGCACTGTGTTAGTTGCAAGCGCAGCCGTGACGTCATAGTCACACCAACGAGTTGACCAGCTCGGTATTTTGACTCGGAGATGTAACCGCGACAACGCCCACAATGTCCTCAACATTGATATATAGAATCACGCAATTATTAAAATAACGTTCAAAGGCAACGCATTCTATACATCGCTGATTATCATAGACAATTGCCCAAGCATAATCTAGAGATCGAGCCTTGAGCCGCAAAGTATTCTAGCCGATTCATTCCATTGTGTACTAGAGCTAGCGTTGCACTCGGGTGCTATTAGCGGGACGTAATAAAACCCACAAATGTACATTTACACTCGTAAGTCGAGAACTCACTAATGAGATGACCATTGACTCGACTAAACATGAGAAATAGCAATCAAATCTATTAAACAAGATTTAAAACATTACAAAAAATATTTCTTGTATATAACATGTCCCTTAAAACCTCGCCGAGTAATTAATTAAGAAGAACACACGTAGTAAGTGAAAAATATATATGCAAAAAATATTTTCTTATATTTCGTCATACATTTGAAACATCTAACAGTACATAATTTATTAAAAACTAAGGTGTACTGGTACAGCTCGCTAGTGAGTACCCGTTCAAAACGTCACTCCCGCATACCGTTCCTTACCTCTGAGCTCATTGAACTGGCCGTTGTTCGTCGTCTACGTCTGTCAGTTGAGGAACGCCTTCCCGTTGAGGAGCGCCGTTCTGGACTAACGCCTCCAGTCGGCGTACTGAAGTGGTTCTCGTCAAACGTCAAAGACTCCGCTGACTCGTCACCCGTTTCTTCATTTCGTTCGCCTTCCCTTCTTTCCACCTCTTCGTTTTGAACACCGTTAATTCTGTCTATCTCCTCTTGAGTTTCTTCAGGACTAGTTATTATTATTTCTTCAATCGTCGGCCTCAATTCAATCTCTATAGTATCCGTTTCGGAAGTATCTTGACTACTTGTTGGAGATAATTTATTTGTCGGCGTTACAGATTCTTCGTCATTTTCGTTGTCATTAGCAGTATCGTTACTGCTAGATGCTTCAGCATGAACGGCTTGAACGATTTCGTTGTGTTCTTGTTCAGTTTGTTCTGTTGTATTTTCAGTCGTTTCATTAGCACATACTACGTCATTTTCTTCGTTGCGTTCGCTTACATTAGTATCACAGTCGTTAAAGTTAGGCACTGTTTCGGTAGTGTGTTCGATTACAGGTGAAAGGGCAGGCGTAGAGAACGGTGTAGGTTCGTTTGGGTTTTCAGATAATTCATTAGATTCGACTTCATTTTCAGTTCTTGATTCGGTCAAGTCAGCAGTGCTTTCGGCTGGCCTATTTGGTTCCTCCTGTTAGAGATTTAGAATTGACACTAACTGTTTGTTACATTTTGGTATGGGGACATTATACAAAGCTTTACAATTATCTTCATACATATACTTGTAGAAGTTAACTTTAATTTTCTATTGTGCCGAAGTATTGTCTATGACACGTGAGGACATCACAGTGAATGTATCGAGATCCAATGATACCAATTCTTTTAAACAATGTCTGCATACATTACGATAGTTAAATACCAAAACTGTTTGTTCTGCTGCCAGAATTTTTTATAAGGATGAAAGCTGTACTATGCAATTCCTAATTATTTACATTTAGTATAATGAATAAAGAAGTACATAGTTTTTAATGAGTTAATGAAAAAACAATTAATGAAACACAAATTCAACTTCCCATCTACATTTGCTAAGGCCATGCTGCAGACAGTAACATAAATTGTGAAAAGATACTTGAAAATTGATCTAGTCCATTTCAGACTATGAGTACGCGTGCGCATGCAATTCCCCAATTCTCGCGTAAAGCAATTAAGACCAGAGGACACTTATTAGAAAATTTGTTAAGTGAAAAGGCTTTTATGACAGCAAAATAACCCGAATATCCATAAACGTAAAGGCAGGTCATCTAGAATCTTATGTCACTATCACTCTGGTATGAGTGAGTATAACATTCTTGAACTTGAGGCACGCTTATGAATAAGGCCACAAATATTAAGCAGGTTTATAAGATACAATTTCTCTTTATGTAACTAGTACAAGTGTAGTCAACGTGCGTATTTTTTTAATTAAATAACCGGCGATTTCGTCTACATAGAATGCATTATGTCATCCACATATACCAAATCATTAAAATCGTTTTTGTATTATTAGTTTTTTATATACTGCTAAATCAAAAAAAACTTAGTTTAGCAGGAATAGTTAGTATTTTACACCCTTATTTACAAAATATTAGTAGCAATTTGCATATGTATGCAAGCGATTATAAGCTGATTGAATCTTAATTAAAAAGTTAATTCAACTTTGAAATCTGTGATTGATAATAACATAGATTTGACATCTAATACATACGAGAAACAGAACCTAAGCAGACAGTAAGACTTCTAATTATATCAACATTTTTGAATAAAATTTTAATACACAAACTGCGCGCTAGTTGTGATTTATCATTACAAAACCCGACGCTTTTAATATGAAAAACCACAATGTTATTAATTATTATCATTATTGAAAAAACCTTCTAAAATCTTTTCACAATTATTCAAGAACATTTAAAATGTTTAGTGCTTTAAGTAGAGTATAAATTAAAAGCCTTTAATCACGCCAGTCTACCAAGAAATCTACCTTGTTATTGTAGCAAAATTTTAACCTTTAATAACAAGAATCTACCGTCTGAATTAGAAATCTGTATGTGCTTAGATTCTGTTAAGTTTAACCCACACAAACAAAAGAAACATACATGCGGCTGAGTGTTAGCCTGATTGTGTTCATCGTCCGCCGAAATGTGGAATCTGCGTTGGAACTCCGTCGCTGCCGTCTCCATACGCTCCGCTTGAGACTCCGTACTCATATTACGGCTGGTGAAAATCATATACATAAAAACCAAGTGGTGTTACAACCTCTAGGTCATGGAGATTTTTGTATTTGATTCGTAATTTTTTTCTCAACTGGCAAATAAATCAACCTGCCACATGTCGATTGCGTCTAGGGGGTTGCCTTCGACTGTTTCTTCACGATGTTTTCCTTCATCATAAGAGCGAGTGTTAAATGCTCATATCGACAATTGGCCTACAGCCCGTGACACGATCGCATGACCTCAGGAATGAGGGTCGCACGATAAAGGCCAACATTTTCTCAAATATAATTATATATCTTTGTAAAACTCGGTTAAGAAGATTTCATACAGACTCATACGCCCTTAAAACATGAAAGTATATATGATTATTTATCTTCTAAGTTGGTTACTCCATTAAAAATAAATTTAAATCACTTTCATTGGTACTACTTTGTTATTTATGGCTAACTTTAATATAACTGATAATCGAGAATTTGCAAACCGGAGGCCAGGGTAGGATTTTGAAAAAATTATGAATGGATATGACATGACTGGTGACGGCCTTCATATTAACCGACAATTTTTTTCATTATTGATTAGATTAAATGCATATTTTAAAATATTTGTATAACATTTTCCGCTTAGGAAGCGTTCAAGTATTACGTAACGAATTTTTTTCCTTTTGTAAAACGTTACGATGCGGGGCGGGGATTGAATTACGCGTTATTGTTAATATAATTTTCGAATTACCAGTTCCTTACACCACATAATGGTAAGTTTTAGGTATAAAGAGTCACTGGGTGGTCACGAAACGTTTTACTATTGGATACAGAAAAACGTTACGGCGCGTTACATGGGGGGGGTCAATAATCTCCAAAAATTCCGTGACGTAATACTTGTACGCTCCTATACATACAATTTGCCGAATTGCAAATACTTTTACAAATTTACCGTAGTGTAATTGACAATTTAACCACAAAACTTAAATATAATTTGAAACTCAATCATTATTCCCAAATTAATCAATTCACAAGACGATATTTGGCCTTGAAACACATATTTAATTGGTACACATTTTTAAATAATTACGTGAAAGTAGGCCGCTCCCATTGTGTGGACCGAGCCGCATGGTTCACGTAATATGTCCTTCCATTCGCGTCTTGCCTTTCCTCCCACCCGGTGGGAAGTGGATCTCCTCCTATTGCCTGTAAAGACAAACATGCATATTATCTGGAATCTTACATACCAGTATAGGAAGCATCACTGAATTTAAATGTTTTTATTCCCATAAAATAAGAAATTTTAGATATTTGTACAGGCGTTTGAGTTTAATGAAATAATATAGGCGTAGTGAGTGACTTGGGTGCATAGATATTTATATTTAATTGCACACATGAGTATAGTCTAATTAAACGTCTATTCAAAACTTTACCACATTTTCTAGGAGTAACATTCAAAAACGGAATGTAGTTCAAACTGTCAATATGTCAAAATCCTATACGTTTTTTGACATTCGGAAGTTAGACTTGTATATGTCACGTTCCTATCACCCAAAGACCAATTTGATTTCAAATCGTCAAAAAATTTGCACGCCATCTGTCTGGCATTATACGCGAACATAATCATATCTCTCTATATTATTGTATCTACACATATTCGTGCAAAAGAATGATTATTATTTAGTCCCCAAATAATTTAAAAAAATAACATTTTTGAAGTGAAACTTCTTTATCGGGGTTGGAAAAAAATTTAGTGTAACATTTTTGCGTTACGCGTCACATTTTTCCGTTACGCGCCATGTTGCTTTTCGAAGTCAAACTTCTTTTTCGGCGTTAAAATATGACATATAGTATGTTTTTGACTTTGAAGTTTGACAACGGATTACAATTTCGACTTGAAATTTGCTAATAGCAATTTGCAGCAATTAATTTGTAAATTGGATGCTAGGCAGTGTATCAAAATTTACTGTGTTTAAAGAAATAGTTTCTAATAAGGTCATAAAGAAGTTTCACTTCTTACGTGTGTACACCTAGTACACGCACACATTTTTCTACGTTCCTTACGACGTCATAATATCGTCTGTCAAACGGTGCAACACCATAAACAACAACTGACGGAAACATCACCACAAATTTACGTGTATATTTTGATTGATATGTACTGTCATGCTTGTGCACCAGCGATTTCTTGGCTAAAGCTTCCTTCACCAAATTCGCCTTGATAATTAAAATTAACGTACAAGGGGCAAGGGTGCTGTGTCGATCAGTTCCCAGTCATCTTCCCCGATCAGCGTCGGCACTGAACCCGCGAACACCTACACGAAAATTCTACTTTACTCCTACGCACTAAACCTACACAGCTCTAACATTATTTGGTTAGTTTTAAGTAATACTACGGTTTTGAGCATAAATTTTGCCTCAAATTTAAGTTTCCAAACTGTCAAGCAAATATCCTCTAGCAAGAGCTGGATATTTCTAAAGTAAGGATCAATTCTAAAGAAAGTTAGGATATTAGAATAACAAGAAAAAAGTGCGTGCGTAGAAAGAACACATGTCGGAAGTGAAACTTCTTTGGCAAGCTAATTTTTAAGTCTTGTTCATATTTATACAAATCTAAAACTTTGGATTTCCGAGACTTAAAGGGAGGGAAAAAAGAAGATATGTCCTAACATTTAATTCCTAAATTAAATGAATCTAATTGTCATTAAAATATTAAGTGTCGAAAATTATACAATTTTTTTTTTTATATTTATTTATACGATAGTGTAAAACACGTGGCATTTTAATTTGCAATTCGTCATTTGACATTTCAATAAATTATTTTGCATAACATATTAAATACTAATACATATTTCATAAATTCTCTTTACGAAATTTTAATTTTAAAAATAGAATTTCTATAAGGTTTTTCGCCCTTCTCACTCTCTCTCAATTGCGTTCAATCGCTCTCTTTCTTTTCTTTGACAAAAACGCTGCATATCTCCGTGACGTGTCCGTAAAATTTTTACCCTCATGCGCCTAAAGAAGTTTCACTTCAAAATGGATATAATAAATCTAAACTGTATATTCGGAAATAAACGGGCATTATTATTATACATTATTAAGCAAATATTCCGGGCTCTTCTGAAATCTCTGGTCTCTTTGTATCAAACATCCGTAAAATCTGATCATTCGTTACATCTTTTATCATTCCATCGGTTTTGGTTTGTTACTACAATGTTTTTCGTAAATACGCAATACGGTTGAACAGCACAAATTACTCCAAAGTGGACTCTAAACAAAAGATACATAAATGTATGGCGCATAGTTGTACAGTACCAGGCCATTTATCGTTATACACATATATTAGTTTTTTGTATATTGTTATTTGATTGGAAATAAAGATTATAGTTTTTCATTAAAATAAATAAATTAACATACATAGTACATATTATATGTTGTCTTTTACCTAAGTACATTTTTTTTTTGTTTTTTTCTAAAAAAATCATAAAACAAGTTTTAGCAGCTCCTAATAGATACCGGACTGTTAGTGTTTCGTGTGAAAGAGATAACGCTCTACAAAGCCGAAGGTAGCCGAATCTAGCAGGTAGAGTATCTCTTTCTAAAGCACTTCTAATGGGACTTCTAATTAAATGGCCGGGTACTGTCAATAGAATTAAGTCTTATTTCTGACGAAAACTTTCGATCTGTCGTATATGCAAATGAGTGAAAACAGCCATACAAAACAATCGGGAATAACAGCGCACATAATCGCGCAAAATTACTACCGCTATGGTATATCATCCAAGAACGATACGCGTGCCATTGTACTGTTACCGGTTAACCAGATAAAACTTACCGGCTGAACATTCCCCACTTGCGGTGCAGGCTCCACCATCTCCCAATCATCTGGTGGACTCGTGGATTCACCTTCTTCCTGTCCCACACGGCCCACCAGAGCGTGGTATATTTCGATGTAACCACGGACGCGAGATCTGGCGCTGTTGGTTTTTAAATAAGTTATATTATATTACATTATATTATCCTGCCAGTATTCTTTGTTTCATGTCCAATGTTTTAATTCGAGTAAGGCTGACAATTATAAAGCTTAGTATATTTAGCTCAGATCGTATTTACTCAGCATGTGTATCTTCATACAAAGAAGGCAACCATTTCAAATTCCTCGAATACAAATTATTTACGTAACATGATAGATATGTATCACCTTCAAATTATAACAAAATCTATCAACATAAGCATATATAAGTTGACTAAAAGATGCCAAAACAACAATAATAAAATCTGGTATCCATTGTTATTTCTCATTTATACTGAATTCTCATTTATATTGTGAGAAATGCCTTTTTATTATTTTTTTCTATTTATTATAGTTTCATTGTATAGATAATATTGTTATAAGTCTAACTGTGGGAATACTGAATAAAATATAAATAAATATGAATAGTATCTAACAATGCGATATAAATTTCAGCCTAAAACTTACTCTATACCCCAGTCCTAGCACTAACCAATTCCATATTGCAAAATCAAATGCAGTTTTAAGACATGGGTGTCATACATTGTGGTAATAAGCTATTTGACAGTATGAAAAATAAAGTGTAATTGAGAGTAATCTGTATGGTATGGCTTTAAAAGCGTTACGAGGTAAAACTTGTAAATAATCATTAATTTATCAAAAAACTGATTTTTATACGACAGTCACGTGACCCAAAACAATCACAGATTACTCGACATACGATTTCGTACTATGACATTACGTCAAGTAATGTCTGCGCCTATCTAACCCTAGTACTGTGTCTTGTAGTTTATTTTCGACGGAGAATGTTTCTTCACGAAAAATAATATGTGTATATGTATGTACGAGCCTAGGGTGTACAAATTGTGTTGAAATTATCAATGTTTAATTTGCATTTTTAAAGCGAAAACTTAACAGAATTAAATATAATGTGTTGGTTCTATAGTCACTAATAATTAAGCTAAAATATATTTTTGAAATCATGTCAAATAGCCCATCATCGTATGTATTGAAGGAGTCCCGCAGTTTGCATACCTATACAAAATTAGTTTTGAATAGTGGTTCAGTAATCCAGATTACTCTTGTGACTAAACGAACTGTGAAGATAGTGTAACTACTACATGAAAAAACCAAACAAGCATGTGTTCTACAATTATACTCAGTGGCGTAACAATAGGGCGCCAGGGCTGGCAAAATGCCACGGGCCCCCGACACAAGAGGGCCCCTACCCAAGAGATATTATGTTCTATGGATGAATGTTAAGTCCCAATACGCATTGGGCTAGCGTGGGGACTACAGACCATTCCCTCTCGCCAAAGAGAGGAGACCTATGGCCATTAGTGGGACATATACAACGTGTAATTGAGTACGCTGAAAATCTCGAAGTGTATTAAAATTAAACTGAGAACAACGTGACGATTTTAACTGATAGGACCCCATCAAAAGAATTTGCCACGGGCCCCAGATGGTATAGTTACGCCACTGATTATACTAAAACATCGACGACAAACAAGTTTAACAACACCGCTGACAAAATAAACGAAAAGTGGATTTTGTGATGACGGGAATTTATGGAGTGCGTCTGTTAAGCCTCTAAAACACCGAGCCTACTAAAAACATTAAATCAATTTATTGAAATAACACGAACTTAATTACATCATTTACATAACTCAAGGTTTCGATTAATTTACGGGCAAGACAATCAGAGAAATGTCATTAAATACGCGTTAGCCTTAAAAAAGTTTTATTAAAAAGTAGTCGCGTAAACAACAAACTAGTGCACAATGTTCCATATTTAAATAATTACACATGACAATTGTCACATAGCAACTGTCACTATATCAAACTATGCAAACACTGAGCTTAGACAAAAGTCTAACATAGTATGTTACTTTGAAAACGGCTAAAAAATATAATTGGGTAAAATTTTTGTCTGTCATTTTATTTATTTATTTACACTTTATTTACCTTATACAAAAACATACATATAAAAAAAAAAAAAATTCAGGTTACATAAGTTATAAGGCAACGGGCGGCCTTATCGCTAACAAGCGATTTCTACCAGGCGACCTAATATGGAACAATAAAAAAGAAACACCTACAGAGGGTAAAGTACAAGAAGTGCATAAATATTTCAGGTGTCAATGAATTCAAAGTAACCTTTGGTATGCTTTATGTTTAGTTAAAACTTATTTTAATTACTAACTTAGATATGGCAAGATTGTGCGGATTTTTATAATTAATCGATTTAAATATAAGACTTTCTTTGCAAATAAACGATTCATTTATTAATTAAAGAAAATTGTTACTATAACAACATGTTCACTGAACTAAACTTGTAATAAAGCCGTATTTGCTTCAAAAATAAAAATTACGGTTTCGTATGGGGATAAAAATCACGGTTTCTAATATTTTATCTAGCTTGCTAGCTATTATGAATTACCTCAGAATATAATCAATCCTTTACGCCATTCAATTCTGAACTCATTTTAATTTGTATTCCATATTAAAAGTGCAACAAAAAATCCCGGTAATATCACGGGCTATGCTGAAATAATATAGCAGACAGCATGCAACTACTTACACGGACCTGCGCGGGCGCAGGGGGTACTTAGTGATGGCCGGACGGGCGTTGGCCGCAGATTCGAAGGGCGTGTTCACGAGTGGCACTTCAGCCATACCCAAGAAGTCATCACGAGTAAGACGATTTTCGTCAAACACTTGAATTAGTAGTTTCTGCTCTTGGGGTTTTACCTGAAGGTGAAGGATATAATCTTAGTTATACACTTTTTTAAGTGTAAAATAATAAAAATTTCAGGCAAAAACTATATTAAGTACCTAACCGTAAAATATTCTAGAATATCAAAGGACAGAGAATCGTCGTACAATTACGTCATTACAGTACGACAATAATCATCATATTGATACTTAATATGAAAAAAAAAATTTGAATAAATAAAATGATACATGTATCAATAACCGCAACGCTGATTCTCTTTTCCCGCTTTATTCCTGAGAATGCGTCATGAGTAAAAATTACTTGTGAGTGCTTCGCTAAACACAGTTTATAATTGAACTTTTCTAACATCGTATTTCTAACTAATATTTTCTATTGTTTATTCTATATATTTAAATCAAGGTATTATAAGCATTTTTAAAATATAAGAAGAATAGATAAAAGCTTAAGCTAGAAAAAACATAGTGAGCCTCACCCGAAATACAAACTCCTGATTCCATACTGGATTGAGGGTCTGAAATTTTAATTATGTATTAAACTCTCATCAATAATGTTATTAATAGATCACTCTTCTTATTAGTTTTGGCGTTCGCCGCCATAGTGAATACAACAATATAGGAGGGTAATACGAAATATTGTTTTGCCATGTATATTATTTCTTAGAAACATTGTTTTAGTTCAATAAAAATAACTATCTGCTATAATAAAAAATAGGGGTTGATCGTAGAGAGGTAAAATTAAGGATATCATTAAAAAATGGGTTTTTTGGGGTGGACTCCTCTTATCACTTAGGGATTTGAAAGATAGATAGTAGCCGAAAAAATTTCATAAAAATCGGTCGAGCCGTTTTGGGGGAGTATGGGAACGAACATTGTGACACGAGAATTTTATATATATAGAGAAGTTCTAGCTCAGACATGAAAATCTCCCTTCAAGTTCAAGAAAAATATCACGTTGAAACAAAAGTCTTTTACTAAGTCTAATGGAGCGTGTATTTATATAACCTAATTTACTTACTTGAGAATTAATCTTTCATAAAGGCCACTTAAGATGATATTTATTAAACGGTTGTAAACAAACAATTATAGAAGAATTTACGACAACATTTTTAGAGGGACAGTATTTGTTTCATTAAAATCTCATGTCAAAGTTTAAACAAAGAAAACAGGTTGATTCTTTAAATTGTCAAACTGTTGCGTGATAATAAATAATTTGACTTTGACTGTCCGGCGAAGATTTCGACTGTTAATAATAGTAACTATGCGTAATATTATAATTAATAACAAACTACTGGCTAAACGACAAAAAAAACATAAGTAAATTTTTATTTCCATATATGAATGTAATAAAAATTACCCTTTTCTTTGTTTTGGTCAGGAAAGTCTCAAGTGTGACGTCACAGTCAACCTTTTGCAACTCCACACGAACATATGGGTCACTGAAATGTAAAAATATTATTAAGAACATTTCAATGATATAATGAGAATCATTATATTAATTACTTCTTATAAAAATAATAGATAAAAATACATTAATTATTGTTCACAATTCAAATACATGTTATCATTTCCAGTAGAAAAAAACCCTTAAACAAAATGTCTATTAAACAGCATTAGGCATCATAGACATTCTGATTTGGTTTGATTAATTTTGTCAAGTCAACAACTGGTCAACCAAATAAATGAAAATATTAAATATTTTGAAACATTAATTTCTTACACTGTAAGTGTCAAACTGATTTAACAATCTCTACTTATGTAGTAAAGTTGACCCAAACTTGTAAAAGCGGTCCTACTTAAGATGTAATTAATCATTTAAAGAACTTATAATATGTACACTAATGTAGAAAGTAACCAAAATGTTTGAAAAGTTTTTGTTATGTATAAACCATTACTTTCCAGCACTTCTTAACACTTCAATTTACAATATAGTAGAACATTAAAGGCTGTTTTATTTACAGATAGATTAAAAATCTGTTTATATTCTAATGTAAAACCTTTGTATTGAAAAAATAATTTCAAACTGACCATGGATAATTTTTCCTTGATAGACAAGGTATTCAGCTTTCTGGATCTTCCAGTCTGAAACAATTATAGTTTCACAAGGGAACCTGAACCCTGAACCTCTGGGATGTTCCTACTATGAACTACTCACTAAATCATAGAGGCAGTTACAGTTACTGACAATGATAAATACACATAAATAAACAATTATAAGTATATATTCTACAAACCTATCTATTAGCACTGCATACTTTTAGGATTAGTCACAACTTACCTAGCTCCAAAAATATCTTTCTTAGCCAATGAATATGCTCCTATTATCTTCAACCGAAGCAGGAAGCTATTCTCTTCGGTCTGAAAAAAAAAATTGTACAAAAAATAATATTAGAATAGAATTAGAGTAGCGCATGTATATAGACATGTTTTTTTTATTTAACATATCTAATCTAACTCTAACTCTTCCAAGCAATCTATTTTCTAAGTTATATGTATAGCCAACATTCTTCTTATAACCAAATATGGTGCTCACAAATTCAAGAATATTATTACCATTTAGTTTTTTACAATAACTAATATATGTATTAAGTACTAACAACTAAAAAGTCAAGCCATTGATAGTAAAATGAGTCATAGAGAATAGTCAATATATTTGTATAAGGTTCTGATAAGAATAATTTCTGATAAAAAAATGCATTGTGTGATAATCACATACAGAATTAAAATTCAATCACACTATTTGTAATTCTTTTGTATTTCAATTAAAAACAGTTGATATATAAACACAATATTCAAAGACAATCCTATAAAAAGATAATTAAAAAGTTGGAAATAAGAAATCTCTCAAAATGTTACAACCATTAAGGTTTTCACAAGATCTAAATAAAGATTCATTTATGGAGTAAAATTATTAATAATAAAAGAAACAAATAATTCCTACGAATAACTCAAGAAAAATTATAATATTCTATGAAACACAATACACACATATTTTACTACAAAAAACAACATATAATGAAAGAATATGCTCTTATGTAAAGAAATTAGTTCTACCTATAACACATTTCAAATCAGTATTCTCATGTTTCAATGATGCATACATTAAAGTGAACAGTATAGTAAATATGAAATAAATTACTGAATAACAACTTAGCCTTGTAAGAAGATTTAATGCAGTATTAAGTGTCTCATATTCATAAGCAGCTCAAGAATTAAGAACTAAATTATAAGACATAACGCGAAGACGAGGCACACCTTGAGACGCATTTCTAGCAAAACAGTGACCATTTAAATAGCAAAATCAATGACAAGGACATATTTATGTTAGCATATCAATTGACTAAATATCCTGTTAGAAACACCTAATGTGGAAACTTACACGATTGTCCGACTGCCAAGCCATCACCCATGAGAACCTGTACTTTTGCTATCGAAACGCCAACCAAATCGTTTCCCTTTTTATATAAAACATCGGTTGTATTAACTTAAAAAGTGATGACACGTTTGCTACACAATCGTATTGGCTACTTTTTGAAGACTTGCTCCACTTGTCCATACCATGAACCACATGTATAATCTTATGAAATTATTAATTTAAACACCAGACAATTGTATTCACTAGAAACATATGAGGACACACAAACTTTTAAAAAATATAACAAGGAAAATCTCTTTTACTCAGTAATCGGTAGTGTACACCATCGATGACAGCATCTGCCATCTGGGATTGACAATTGTCTGACAGACTGTCATTTTTGATTTACCGCATTATAATCAATCTACGCAGTACTGTATATTTGTGTTGGAAATAAACTTTTTTGTTATATACATATGTTATATACTCAGTTTATATTCATTAGAACCTATAAAACGTAACATGTTTTTTTTATATTAATTGCTTATTTTGGGAATAAGCTATTAAAGATATGGAATTAAAAATTTGCTATTTGCAACGATACTTGAATTAGATTAAAATTCTGCCTGTAAGATTTTGAATGGAATACACGTTCAAAATTTGTTAAACTGTATTTTACCGAACCATAATAAACATTACTATCTGTTTAGTAAAACCAACAATTCTAAATTGGTTTCCCGCAACCATTTTGAAGAACACAACAAAGAAAATTGAACCAAACTGTGAATAGCCTAAAGTAGACCTAATAGGCATAGGTATGTAAACACATGAATTAATGTTTATCAATGTGTATTTTATGAATGTTAATGTATTAAAGAAGTTATTCAACAAGAAAGCTACAAGGTAAGTTTCTTTGACTTGAGAAATATTTATTTACTATTTAATTATTGGATACAATATAACATCTAAGGGTATGTTCCGATATACACTGCGAGTACTGTATAGTGCTCCCACTGTTCAAAAATTCGTTCCGCTATGGACTGCCAGTATACAGCCGCAGCGTCCTAGGGAAATATATGACGTCACAAATCCCCGCTATACTTCTACTGCGAGCACTGGCGTTTTCGAGGTAAGGTACTCGCAGTGCTTTGATCACGTGATCAATCAAAACCACTTGAATGCCTAACGGCTGATATAACTTACAGTTTAATAACAAACATTTAAAATTCTAATTAAAGAATTAGCTTGGACTAATTAATGAAACAATGGAAAACTTACGAAAATTGAGTTTATTAGACTGTGTAAGTAATACTCGAACAACGGCACCAACAAGCACAATTCCAATTATTGTGTATTCCATTAGCTGTGAATTGTTTTTTATTTGTAGTAATTAATAACTAATTTTATAAAGAAAACTCCTTACTTTTACCCTACATAACCTTTGCATTATAAGTACATAATACAGAAAGTTAATATAAGTTGAGTTATTATAAACAGACTTTTTCTAATTAAAAAATACTTACTTTCTTTGTAGTATTAATTCAATTGACAGTTAATATTAATATAGATTTTTTTAATGCGATAATACTCCAATAATAGTTTTTCTTGTTGAATTGAAAAACTTTGATGCACTCATTTGAAAACTGTGTCGAAAAACGAAGCTGACTAGTATACTGGACTGCGTTCCGTTTTAAATTGTAACCAGTATAGCTGGCTATAGAGAAACGGTTTCACAGTATACTAAATTGACGGTACTCTGTACAGTGGTCGCAGTGTATATCGGAACATACCCTATATGTCTGGTCAGTCACAACACAGGAATATCCTAGTGTGGAGACCAGCGTCTTTAAAATAATGCAAGATTAAAACAAGGTTTAGCTAATAAAGTATATTTTTTATTATTATTACTATAGGTAAACTGTTACCGACTTAATTTATTTCTAAAATCCTTTATAACTTCTCAAAAGGGAAATAAATATATACTTTTAAAGAAAAAAAAATTACTAACTTAATAAATAATGGAAAACAATGAAACAAACTCTATTTGATTTTTTTTTCAAATGAATTCAGCTTTTTTGACATGACAGTCATGAACATGAACAGACATATTTTTAAACGCAATATTTATCAGAAAATGGTACATTTTATCTTAAGATAAATAAATACAATGCGTATCTATTATTTACATAATACGTTTCCGTGATTTGCATATCTTTAAATATGTTGGCCGCAATAATATACAGTTATAATTTTTCGGCACAAAAACTCGCTTACTCATTAATATTTTATATCTACTTAAAATTTAACTTTAAATAATTTTAATTTAATCAAGATCCGATCATGAACTTATTATGGTTTATCTATAGTAAATGTTTACATAAATATGATAATCCAAGGTTGCATATAATCACCTGATATTGCAAGGAGTATCGTGGTTCCGGTCGTAAATTGGCATATCTCCGCCACGACGACCAAGAAGACGAGCGGCTTCTGTGCGGCGGCGTAATTTCCAAGGGCCTCACGTTCTGCATTATTGATGTTCGATCTCTCATAGTTAAACAAAACACTGCACACCATCACGGTCAAACATTAGCTTTTTTGGTTCACAGAAAATGGCGGTCGCCATATGATTTTATAATCTTATCTCAAAATGAGCGCGATACGTAGCCGTACAATTAGCGTTCGAGTGATAACTACTAGTAATATTGGACAGTGAGCTTCGAGCGCAAATTAAAGATAACGGTGCTGCCATTGTAGATAGCTGTACAATCTTGGTACGTATGCACGGACAGGTAAATCCCTTTTAAAGGCATTGTTGGTAATTGTGGGCCCGTTTTAAAAATATATATTATCAACATACAGGTATAATATACTCGATCGTAACTTTGATATCATTTACGTATAAGACAAAACTATTTACAACGTAAAAATGTGAAGCTCATTGAAATTGGATCAGCGGTTTAAACGTAAAATATTTGCAATCGCACTTATAAGATGGACTTCGTAGATTTATTTTTTTGTTAAACTTACAACTTTACCTTATGTTTTAAGTAATATTAAAGGTTTAATAACTTATTTATGGGTTTTAAACTAGATGGAAGTTTAGTTTTTATTTTCCATTAGTGTAATATGCCTACTTTATTACATATTTGAAAACTCGAAAGTAATTACACGTAACAATTTATTCTTTAAAAAAATCTAGATCAAGGAGATCAATAATGCGAAATAAGTAGGTTAAACAAATAAAACATTACTAACAAGGACGATTGTTCTTCTGCAGTAGACATATCTACTTTTTTATATAGTCATAAAAGTCTGAAACTTGATTTAGCTAAAACAAAAATTGGCTAAGTTCAATTTCAACAATGTATGGTTGAAGTCTTATAAAACGTAGAGCTCTTTACGTTTTTGTTACTGCCATTTTTTGTCTAATATTTAATGTTTATTCTTTCTGTGTAGATCTCACGCAAACAATAATTCTAAATCATAATCGATTTAGTTCAATGATTTAAAAAAAAAGTGCGTATAAAGTGCACATGTCAGAAGGGAAACTTCTTTGGCAAACTAATTTTTAAGTCTTGTTCATATTTATACAAATCTCAAACTTTAGATTTCCGAGACTTAGAGGGAGGTAAAAAGGAAGATATTATGTTAGGAATTTAATTGTCATTAAAATATTTAAGTGTCGAAAATTCAAAAAAATTATCAATTAATTTTTTAAATTTATTTCTTCGATAATAAAAATAAAATAAACACTACGTTGAGATCTCGTTTAAAGAATTACTCTGGAGTTATTTTCCACGCCCTCTATTATGTACCTATGAAGTAGCTACTTTGCTCCGTTTTAGACGATAGTTTATCTGTTATGAGGATTGACACAATGTCAGCATTTGTAAATCATTTTGAATTGTCAGTTGTCTATTTTTGTCAGTTGTCACCGTAACCTAAGGATATAAAAAAATACAAATTGCATCTTGTAAATTTGCATCTTATTTATTTTCTTTACAGTTTAAGTTATTATTACATATTTTTGTAGGATACTAGTCTTTTTCAGCGTGAACTGTTTAAATTCGTCATTTTCCATTCACTATGACCCAACAACTAATAAATGAAAATAGTAAATACATATTAGAGTAAGTTTGCTGTCATGGTTTTTTACGTAAATATGTATAAAGTATGAGTTAGTTGTATATTTGTGTTTCAGTCTTTTTTCTGAGCAAACGATTGACTCGCAAAGTTTGGAAGCAATATGCGCGCAGGTGCAAAAAAGGTTTCCAAGAGGGGAATACTTTAACTGTAAGTACAAGGATATTTTGTAATTCATACTTTTGGTATTAAATAGACATAACTTGCATATAGGATTACATTGATCCATGTTTTCAGTGTCACTACTGCTATCATCCCTTACAACTGGTGGAGATCTTTCGCTTCCAGGTCAGCGTATTGTAGCGCTGGCACTGATTTTTGACTTTTTCAAAGTAGATAATCCATTTAGTTCCCTATTTTTACATTTATTGGAAGGCAAGCCAGGTCTGCTCCCATTGGCACCACAGGAGAGGTTATTTATCGCACAGCTACATTCATTTGTTCCATGTAATATTAAAGATGTAAGTAAAAATTCCATCTGGTCGTAACTCTGGCTACATATTTAATGTTGTATTATAGACTAACTTTTTCAATTGAGAAAAGAAGTTAATAGTTTGGTTTGGAAAATTAAATAACAAATTTGCCTGTTAACTAATAAGAGCAAATACAATAAAATGTTTGTAAAATATGCGTCTAGATTAAATAGGCTTTAGATTAAAACAGTAACACAACAACAACTAATAAAACCTGTTGTTAACTACAGGTGTTTAAGAAGACTGCAAAACAAGTGATGCTGACAGAAGTGGTGAGCAAAGACCTAGAATTTGACTTTTCATCTCTTCAGTCACTAGTTAATGATAGAATAACAGAAATGAGTGCAATAGCTAAAGTCACAACATCGGCTCTTGTGCCCCTTGGAGATGGGTAAGAATATATTCATAAGTGAAATAGTATGATTAGAATTAATGTTGAATTAAAAGTGACAATCAAAAATATTTCCTAGTTACTTAGTGACAATCAGTCAGATAAAGTATTACTATTATATATGTTTTTGTAATACAGGTATTATAATATAATATATTACATTTGTATAATATATAAATCAGCTGGTTAATAATCATTTGGGGGGGAAGAAAAAAAAAAAAAAAAAAAAAGGGGGGGGGGGGGGGGGAAAAAAAAAAGAAAAAGGGGGGGAAAAAAAAAAAAAAAAAAAAAAAAAAAAAGGGGGGGGAAAAAAAAAAAAAAAAAAAAAAAAAAAAAAAAAAAAGAGAAAAAAAAAAAAAAAAAAAAAAAATTCCCCCCCCCCCTCTAGGTTGCCACACCCAACAGTGGGGTGCAGCGAGAAAATATTTGGCCCCTCCAAAAAAAAAAAACCCCACGGAAAAGTTGGTTAATGGTAAACAGGCGAAAATGGGCGGTGGATCCCGGACTATAACCAAGAGATAAGAGGATAGCATTTACTGTCAATTTTGTAAATCTTAATTGTATTTTATTGTTTTTAGTCTAAGTTTGGCCATTGAGCTGTAAATAAATAAATAAATAAATATAATCTCTTGTAATTCTATGTTCAATTAATTGATCAATAATTCATTAAATAAAGAATTACTTAAACAATTTTTTTTTTTAATTTAAACCAACCTGAGATGATTAGCTTGTTCTTCTCAGGTATTCCCGAAAATGTCTACATATTTTCGTTATAACTTGTTCCTTTTCCTTAATAATTAATCAAGTTATTAATATTATGAGAAATGCATCAATTTAGAAAAATTTAAATCATGTTAATAATTAATATTAAGTACTTGGTTTTAGTTTCTATCCTGGAACTTGGCATGAATAATAAATTAACTTGAACTGTTCAACAGGTCTCCACCCAATCGAATGGCCATGAAGGAGCTCTTAGAAGCCTTAATGTCAAATGACTATATCCCATTGCACAAAACATTGAAGCCAATTGGTCCAATACCACCTCCACCGTTCCTGATTGAACCAAATGAAATTCCCTTTGCCAATGAAGTAAGTAATAAAATACCAAGCCTAGGTCAGGGTCATCTCTTTTACAGACATTTTTTTATTGAAATCTTATGTCTATGTTTACCTAGACGAAGAAAAACAACTATTTATCACAATCAAAAAGGATATGTTTTTTACATTAAATACTTCCTTTATATAGTAATACCTCTATATTTTGTAGGGTGTATGGAAGAATTTGCCAAACCGTGGTACATATGTGCCATTATATGATACGGATTTAGATGGACTGTTGGGCCTTAGACCTGAAAAGGTTGAGAAGAAAGTCTCCCAGTCTCCTAAGACTAAAGTAAGACTAATATTTATATTATTTTATTCTTATGTGGTTCAACAACATTATATATTAATTTATTCTAATTGAAAATATATTTTTTTGATCAGCCTTCTGTGCCTACTCGAAACAATTATTTTTCATTATGACAAAGACACATATTCATAGTTTTTTAAATAAGTCTTAAACAATGGCTACGAAATGTAGCGCTAAAGATTGTTTGGTGCCTTAGTTAGACAATTCCTTTTATACGAAAACAGAGCTGTTAACTGTTATTTATTTATTTATTAACACTTCGTTGCCTTAACATAATAAAAAAAAATTGAACATAATTAAATGAAAAGGAGGGCAACTGGCGGCCTTATCGCTTTCGAGCGATCTCTTCCAGGCAACCACAGTGAAAAAAAATGTATTAAATTAGATAAGGTAAGCAAGAAGTGCAAAAGTACATAATACATATAGTTATTAAGACAAAACTAAACAAGAACACAAAAAAACTTAACTAAAAAAGTATATATGAAAAATAAAATTGCACATGAATCACGATATTTTAGATCATGTTATTTTTTATTATTTATGATTTGATTTAGTCAATTTAATAACTTGTGCAATCGGTTTCTTTTCTTTTAAACCTCAGGATGAAAAGAAAGAAAAGCAAGAAGAGAAGAAGATAGAAGAAAAAGACCCCGCTAATGTATCAGCAGAAGCGAAAGAGTTAACTCAAATAGCATTAAAGGGGGTACTAAGTGTGCCACACCAACAGAGGCTGTTAGCGATACTTGACCAGAACCCTGAAATTGTCTATGAAATTGGTGTCACACCTTATCAGGTATTATAAGTTTAATAATAATACAAATGTTTGAAGTTCTACACTAATATGGGTCCATACATCTCTGTATCTGTACTACTAATGAAAGTTGATCAGCTTTCTATGTCTACTAACCGAAATTAAATAGCCGCGTCCACACCGAACGATCCAAAATGGATCGGCGATGCCGCGATCCGTGATCCAAGATCGCGACGCGTGGAGTGTGGATCGTACTAGGCCGATCCAACAGCAATCTTTTGCGATCCTGACTGGCTGATCCAACACGCTCCAGCAGATCCATACTGAATCAGTATGGATGCGCATGGATCGCGCACGGCACGTCCACTCCGCCTGCACAT